TTGTATTTCCGGCATAGAGTCCTTTTCATGCGAATCATCTTGCAGAAATTGGAGTCATTCATCTGATAATCAAGGCATTCCTTTCGGTGGGGAGATGACATTCCCCGAGCAGCAGGGGAGATCAGATTGAGCCGTGCCCATAGCATCTCCATGATCTCTCCATCGATCCGACCAATGCCTTCAATAAAGTTAGAAGCATATCGCACATAGCAGCTGTCCTGATGGCCATGAACATGCCACAACCCAATTCCGGGAATGATGGTTAGTTGTGGTGCCATTTCTAGAAATTGACTTTGATCCACCTGAACCCAAAAGTGTTTGTTGTATTGACAATTAATATCATAGAAGGTGACAGCCCTGGTGATGCCTTCCATGTTGTGCCGGGAAGCCTTGCAAAGGGCGTAGTCCATGTTCATTTGTCTGCAAGTGACCCATGGTTAACTCGTGAATGCTTAATGGTGGATGTGGCTTGCCTTTCGCCTTTCTGAAAATCCACCATGGAGTGAGGGACAAAGCAACCATGTCTGGAACAGGCAACTCCCCCGATACCGGTGGACTCCAGCTTGTGCCGAGCAGCATTAGCTTGTCCAATATGGGCCGATTAACCTATCATTAGGCTTTGCTCAAAGTTCAACTTCGCACAATTCATTAATACTTCCACCTTGCAAATCCTTAGCCCTTTCTGCATTCTGATTCACTATGGCAAGAACAGGTCATTCCACCAACACGACTTCTGGAAGACACAGGGTGCATCAACCACAGTCTCAGAAGCTCACGGACAAGGAGATTTTGGAGTTGAAGAACTACCTTCCTGAGTGGACTGCTGCCAAAAGGAGTGAGAAGCGAGCGATTTTCACTGCCATAGCAAGGGCGGCCAGGTTGTTTGCTCCTAAGTTGGACCAAAAATAATGGAAAAAGAGGAAGCAGGTGAGGCTTCTTTGTTGTGTTGAAAAACTTAATTTTCAACATCACATTCTTTCATCAACTCTTAGGTGTACAAGACTTGGTTGTTCAACAACAAGAAAAAGAAGGAAAGGAAGGACATGATCAAGTATGGGAGGAAATGGACACCCAGGATAGTGGTCTACCAGCAGAAATGTGAAGAGGTGCTGAAGAGGATTGAGGACGAGTCTGGGGTAAAGCCAGGAGATCCTGGTATGTTCAAACATTATCAGGCGGCGGTGAAGAGAGTCATGGCTGAATTGGACGACAACGAGTTGGAGAAGGTGAAAGAAACAGCAGAGGAGTGGTCCAACAACTGTCCACCTCCAGAGATACAAGCACAAGTCGCTCGTAAGAAGGGTCCGGCATATATGGAGCACTTTTCGAACGAGATGTGGAGGCAATGTGGGATGAGAGTTTTTGTGATGTTGGCTTGGAAGAATGAAAAGGGAGAGGTGCTGTTCGGGATGTGAGTACATTTATCCATTGACGCAGATCTTTCATCTCAAAATATTCATGCAGGCATGATGATAACGAGGCCTTAGGAAATGGGGACAGCTTCATGAAGACGAAGGACTGGGAGGACATTGAGCCAGTGTGGCAGGAGTATGCGCAGGAACAGTTCGGTGAGTGTTTGAACCATGTATACCAGATTGAACATGTTGAGCATCACAATGATAGGCTCCGTGGCACAGGATGGAGGACGTCAGGTCAAGGGAGGTCGAAAAAGAATTCGAAAACCAGCTTTCGAACTCGAAATGGACGGGGAGGGTATGCCACTCCTTCCGGACATCACGGACACGAAACTTGAGGAGAAGAAGGCCATAGTGAGGGCCTTTCTTACATCGCACTATCGTGAGTTTCTCGTCGCATCATCTGACAAATTGTTCAATGCATGGACACAGGGATATGTTCCGGGAAGGACAAGGCGGTTGTGCCATGGAGTGCCATTGTACAAAGTCAGGATGACTTCGTGGCCCGGACGTATCTTCCGGCGGATGTTGACTTGAAGGAGCCTTCGAAGCTGCAAAATTGGGACACGACTGCCTTGCTCCATTTCTGGCGTGCTCGGCAGGAAACAGGCGAAGGTCCCACATTTCTGTTCAAAGCATGGAAGAACAATGATGGGGACATGGTACCATCTGTCATATCTGGCAAGTCGCCCTCTCCTCAGACTCGTATAGTGAGAAAGCAGCAGAGGGTTACCATCCGAAGGCCTCGGGATTCGTCGACAGAAGCCGAGAGTGATAAGGAGAGTGCCACTAATCATACCGAGGATGATGTGGATGATGACTTGGCTGACGGGAGACATCCGCTGAAGAAACCCAGGACAGGAGGTCCTACACCCAAAGGGATGGCAGTCCCACGTGCAATTCCAAAGCCTTGCCCGGCCAAGCCAGCCAAAAAAGGTGCATTACTGACATCGCGAATGGGCGACCTCCTTGCTGGGTTAACTGAAGACGCAACCAGCGAGGTTAGAGATGATGTTGAAATGGAAGACAGTATCATGCCGCCGGCACAGAAAAGGAGGCGGGGCAAGAGAGTCACAGTTGAACCATCCACGAGGACGACCCGGAGTAAGTTGCAAATGCCAGTAGACAGACACCTAGAGTAACCAGAGCACGGGGAACACACTTAATGTAGATATATCTTCCTGCCCTATGTGTATGTCATATGTGCTATTGTGTATATGTCAAATTACTAACCACCTAATCTTAAATCCAAATCCCAAATCTCGAGACCAAGGCCCGAGTACTGAACCCCGAGCACCGAGCACCGAGCACCGAGTACCAGTCACCAAGTACCGAGTACCGAGCACAGCAAACCGGGCAGCGAGGACTGAGTAGGTGGAGTATACAAGTACCAAGGACTAAGTAATAAGTAGGTAAAGTATACAAGTACCAAGTACTAAGTACTGAGCAGGTAAAGTATACTGCACCGAACCCCGAGCACTGAGCACCGGGCACCGCATTGAACACTGAGTCACCGAGTACCGAGTACTGAGCACAGACAACCGGGCAGCGAGTACTGAGTAGTAGAGTATACAAGTACCAAGGACTAAGTATGAGTAGGTAAAGTATAATGCAATGTGTCTACTATCAGACATTGATCGATATTTACATGTTACTTGAGTCCTCAAAGAACTCAATGAGGGTATCTAATACCTTCAGCATTTCGGAGGTTGACTCCCTTACCCTTTGCATCCTCCGGAGGTCCGCATCTGCTTTCCGCAGTTTGTCGCATGTTTCAGCCCATGCCATCCTGAATGGTCTGTCAGCCTCAAGAAGTTGTGCTACTGTAGGGGCAGGAAGATTTCCATGACGCTGTTGGTAATCACCCAGGCGATCTACAATTGTTTGAACTTGCAGAACATTAGCAGAGATAAATAATCAACTGTTGTATACATACTTTCAGCTTGATCATAAGATCCGATTGGCATGAACTCCTGAACCATGGCACGCAGTGCTTCATTGTTGAGTTCCGGCTCGGGCGATTGACGTTCGGGAGTTTCTGAATTAGCTTGGGAGATAACATGAATAAAAAACATGAAATGATATGAATATGCCTACAAGGTATGGGTGCCTCTGGTACAGCCGGAGTAACCGGATGAGGTTCGGGAGTCGATTCATTCACTGGGGAAATGCCATGGAAAATGAACATGAGATGAAAAGAATAACCTCACCAGCCATAGGAAAATCGGGTACAGCCGGAGCATCATCAGACGAAATCAAGGTATCCTCCGGACCAAGATACAAGTCCGGGTCATCATACAGGGCCAGTCCATCCGCCAGGGCCGGATATGATGGATCTGGAAGTATGTGATGAATTTGCACATGTAGAATATGTACATTTGAATTGAGAAACATACCGGGAATCGCATTCAACAGATCCAAACCACCGGACGACCCAGAATCAGAGTCTAACTCATCATCCGGCCCAAGGTATATATCATCTAATGGATCTAAACCATGTCAGATCAATTCACTGAAATCAGCAAAAAAAAACATACCAAGGGACATCCGGGACTTGGAGGACTCATCCACATCCATTGAGGTGGATTCAGTGACCGGAGGGTCATGAAATCTGACCCCAGGTTGAGAGCTCATGATATGAGCTGATGAACTTATGAACTGATTGATAACAGATAACGTCGAAGTTCAACACATGGCCGGCGATTGCCGAAAGTTGAACCATGACCAAACAAAGACAAACAATCAACGATTTTCAACATCGTCCTTCAATTGTATTGTTTCTTTGAAACTTCATTCTAGTGATAACAGATTTCACCCTGCTTTCAACATTCTCACATCTGTCAACTCAATCCAAATGTCTACTCCAGTTCAATCTTCATTGGCCGACCTCAAGGCATCCACTGCTCAACTTGTAGGCATCATTGCTGGCGCTCGGCACATCCCGGCCGGCTCAGTGGACGTCCAACTTGCTCTGACAAAGCAGGTCACCACTCTTTTGGTAAGTTGCACTCATTAAATTAGTTTACCATTGATGTTTCTAATATCCGGGTAGGCTGACATCATCCGGGCCCATGAGAAAGGGGAATACATCCCTGGCATTGTGGTGTCCTGCTCTAAGGAGCTGATGAGGGTGCAGTTCCATGACTCCCCGGGCATTGCCCAACTGGCACGGCATTGGCCATGATGACCCCCGGGTGGCTAGACACGCCTGGCGCAAGCAAGTCCGTGCCTGGGAGGCGTTGGGTGACAATTCCTGTGATCTCCCTGTTGTTCCTAATCCTTCCACTGGCCCACTGACTGTCAACCTTCCGTCTCCACCTGTCCCTTCCCCCACACCTGTTCCTTCCCCCGCCCCTGTCATTCCCTCCCCTCCCGTCGTCGCCGGACCTTCCGGCAAGACGGGTACCGAGTTCCGGGACAAAGGAAAAGGTAAGGCCGTTTCTGTTGACCTGGAGCCGGAAGTCGGAGGGAGCAACAAGAGGAAGTCCCCGATGATTTCTGGACACTCCTCCCAACCTCCGAAGTCGGCGATGAAGGGTCGCAAGCGTGTCAAGTCAACTCGACTCCCCAAGTCAAAGCCGTTTGTGGAGTCGGAAGATGATGAAGACCCAATTGTTCAGGTATGTGTTCTGGCTCATTTGTGACATGCTCTCAATTTGTTGCAGCCGATTTCGCGTAGAGTGCCGGAGGTCGTTCTTCCCCAGCTCTCCACCATTGTTGTGAGGACGCCCCAGTTGCCTCGGTCACCTGGTTCCCCCAAGAAGCAATCATTTGGGCCTGCTTCGGTAAGTCTGATTTAGTCGTCCGGAACTCATATATATGCTCATGTGTCCACAGCTGACTGCCGGCAGGCGTCCGGAGGTCATGGTGAGTCTTTCGGACAGGTCCGGAACTCGCATATATCATTCTGACTCATGCCCATTGCATTAGGAATCTCCCATTCAGTCGTCCGGAGGCTCGGGTAAGTCTTACAAGCTCGCCCGGAACTCACATGCGTACTTACAATCTATCAGGCAACCTCCGGCAGTCGTCCGGAAGTTGAGGAGTCCTCTGATGATACTTCCAGCGCTTCGGATGGTGACCCCCCGGCCAATACCACATTTGATATCACCATTCCCTGGCCCGGTGAGTACTCCAATTAATTCCCCTAGTCCATCTACTAACGGATACCACAGAACAACCCCTGCCATTATTGCGTCAAGGAGGATTGGCCCTGCGCGAACCCGTTTTGACAAGAGGACCAACCTCCCCTGCTTGTCTTGCATCCGCTGCTCCACCAAGAAGATCAAATGCAACCCTGCATCTCTGGGATCCCCGCCCAAACGGACCGAGGGAAGTCTACCACCGGCCGGACGCGTTCCAAGACATCTGCCCCTGCTCCATCCACTGCTCCGTCTCCCTCCCTGTCAAGGGCCCGAACTCGTAGTCAATCTCGTGGCCCGTCCCGAACTCCGGCCATCCCTGCTGCAACTACACCCCAGGTGCAGTCACGTGGTCGCAGCAAGACCATCACTACCAAGAAGACACCTGCACCTGCACCTGCACCTGCGCCAGCTCGTAAGTCACCCAAACTTTTGATGACCTGCTGACCTGATTTTTTACTTAGCTGTTCGGTCTTCGAGCTTCGCAGTGCCTCGTGCAGCACTCGATGTTCCCATGCCGGATCTCCATTCCATGGCAATCGCGATTCGGGATGGTGCAGCTCGCATCGCTATTCTTGAGGCTCGGGTGCAGGAGCAGGATGCTAAGATTGATACCCTGCAACTGCCTCCATGAGAGCCTCCGGCGCACAGTGGTCGACCGGCACCCTTCATTTTCACTTCCGGACACACCGGCCGATGCAACAATCTTGCTTGATCAATCCGGTCCCCACCCGTCCATTTCACCCCTCCCCTCCGCACTTTCCAACCTCATTGATTTGGACATTTCAGTGATGCAACCCACACCCTTGACGGTTGAGGATGGATCTGCTATGGTAGGTCTCATGGTTGAGCCCACCCAAGTTCAGCCTGAGGGTCCACAATCCTCCGGCGAAATTGTGCTCCCGGATGAACCAGGCAACCTCTTGCCAGAATCCTCCGGCAATATTGTGGTCCCTAATGAACCAGGTAACCTCCTGCCAGAATATGATTCTTCTGATGAGGAGTTGGATGTTGAGGGGAAGGTTGATCTTCCTGGTGAGGAGGTTGAAATGGCTACATAATTGCTCAGTGATAGATGTACATAAATCTTTTTCAATGCATGTTACCTATGCCACAATTGAATAATTTCATGATCAGTCCCGATATCCAGAACTCGAAACTGTAGATTGAGGTAGATATCACCCTAAACCCTAACACCCAAATGTCAAATTTTCAGTGCCAAACCCCAAGTGCTGGGTGCTGGGTGCTGAGTCCCAAAACCTGGAACTCAGGATTTGCCATTTGAGACTGACGACATTTTTCAGACATGTTTATATCAACCTATGTATATCTATAAACATTTTACTAACCCCCAAACCCTGACATATATTTGTGTTGTGTCATACTGAGTTCCGAGTTCCGGGACCCCCGAACCCCAAAACCCGGCAGTCCACAATTTCGGGGTTCGGGGGTTGGTAAAATGTGTATGGATAGATGAAAGGTTGATTTAAACATTTTTGAAAGATGTCTTATATCAAATGTCAAGTCCCGAGTTTCGAATTCCGGGTTTTGGGACTCCGGGTTTTGGGACTCGGCACTCCAGAAACCCGGAAATTCGAAACTCGGGACTTGACATTTGATATGAGACATCTTTCAAAAATGTTTAAATCAACCTTTCATCTATCCATACACATTTTACCAACCCCCGAACCCTGAAATTGTGGACTGCCAGGGTTTCAGGGTTCGGGGGTCCCGGAACTCGGAACTCGGTATGTGAGACAACAAAAATATATTTCAAACATGGGTAAGTCAATGTGTTTGTCAATCAACTCGATTGTAAATCAAATTTTATTGATCTCCCCAAATTTCCCAAGTTCCGAGTTCCGGGACCCCCGAACCCCGAAAACCCGGCAGTCCACAATTTCGGGGTTCGGGGTTGGTAAATCTCGGTTTGGGGTTTTGCACTGAAAATTTGACATTTATATTTTTGTGAGTGTTGTGCTTCTGGTGTCCAGTGCTTAGAAATAGGATATGTTGCACACCAGGGTTCAGGTGTGGGGTTTTTCCACTTCAGTCCTCGATTATTGGTCAATGCCACACATGGTCGATTCATGTTTTCGTGCTTAGGGGTTTAGATTCAGTGGTCGATGGTAGGTATATGCACTCATAGTGTACATGTATCCTACGTGTTTGATTGCTGGTGGCTACATCAGCTGTATGTCTTGATGAAACATATCTAGGCTCACCCATATATGTACCCATCTATGTACAATTCCCCCACATCAGCCCACCCATCTATGTATTATCCCCCACGTCGGCCCACCCATCTATGTAATACATCCTATGTTGGCCCACCCGTCCATATAATACATCCTACGTCGGCCCACCCATCTATATAATTATACCCCACCTCGGCCCACCTGTCTATGTAATAGATATTTTATCACACCCTCAGCCCACCCGTCTATTTGATATCCCTTTTGTCGGCTTACCCGTATATGTAATACTTTCCACGTCAGCCCACCTGTATATGTAATACACCCCACGTCAGCCCACCCATCTATGTAATATTCCCCTACCTCGGCCCACCCATATATGTAATACACCCCCGTCGGCCCGCCCATCTATATAACAATATTTGCCTTACATCTCTCTTCAGCCCAGCTGTCTATAATATCCTACTCTACATATTACCCAGATGGGCCCACCCATCTCCATGAATGATCATATTCCCCCGGCCCATCCGTCAACATCAAGGATATATATATCATTGGCACACATGGGCCCACCCGTCTCCATCGGAAATAATATGTGTCCCAGCCCATCCGTCATCATTGAGAATATACACAACATGAGCCCATAATCCGCTGGCCCATCTCATATGGGATATTATGTAGGTCGGGTGGCCCGTATAATACGGAATTTGTCACTGAAGGGGCTCAAGGAAAGGAGCCACCGGTGAGCGTTCTCCACCAGGAAGATTCTGGCCAAGTTCTACCAGAACTTCGTACTCCTCTGGCAAAAACTCCTTCATCTATGATGTGGTGAGCGCTAAGTTGAACATCCCAGAAATGTCACTCACCACCATTTCAATCCACTCAAAGAGTTCGCCAAATGTAGTCAGGATGTTGTTATACAGTTCCTGGTGCTCCAAGATGTCTCTTGAAGGATAGGGCAAACACTGCATATGATTAGTGTGACTTACATCCGCCCTAACCATATCATAAGGATGAATATGAGTGGGTGCATTGTCTCCCTGTCGGATGTAGCATTGGCATTAGAGTTCAGTGTTGTCAATACAATGACCTACCACAGTCGAGTAGCGATTCCAGAGCGAGAAATGCAGGCACTGGAAGGGACAAAGAAGAGTCTTCTCTGCCAGCTTTTCAAAGGTGGAACCGGCGTCTTGCTCCACTTGTGGTGCCCCTTCTGAGTCATTAAACTTGCGAATGTGCAGAACGTTCTTGCTTTCAAAGCAGGCGAGCAAGCTACTGGTGAGGCCAAGGTGAATGGTCTCTGGTAGAGAGGGACAGATGAAAGCCATGAGACTGCCATCTGAATTGCGTAAATCAAGCATACCACTGAAAACATGAGTTCCTACTTAAAACAATCAAAGGATCAACTCACCCTTTCAGAATGTGCATTGGTATGCGTACATATCCCCTGTGGCTTCTGTAGCCCTCTGGATAGAGTTCACCCATCTTGGTTGAGAGCATCAGTGAGACCGCTGCATCGCAAAATTTGGAGCTCACGCACCTTATTGCCTAGATCATCAAGATCGCTAACAACTTCCCCTGCCGCTGCTTTCATGTGCTTGCTTTCTGTCCATATCACATTATCCTTCCTGTCATTCTTAGCAGGGGATCGCACATTGTTACAATGTGAGCGGTCAAAAGATGTTTGGACTACTGTAACACAGAAGTGTTTCACCCCACTAGGGCAACACGTCAAAGAATGTAAGTGGCTAGTTATGCCCTTACCGCTAATGACAAGCATCTGTTCAGCAACATCTGATTTGCAAATGGCCCAGGCTCCCATATCCCTGGCTGGGAGAGTGAAATTCCTGGAAGGTCAGTGAGAATTTTTTTGCAAATGTAAAATAAATATATTACGCACTCTTGTCTGAAGATATCGAAGACTCCATCAGTGAGCACCAGGTCTGTGCAGTCCAGGGTGTCCCCAGCTCCAACACATGTTAGAAATGAAGATGGAAAAATTCTTTGCAGGAAAATAAGCATTTGGGATCTGATCCAGGCAATGGCAGGTATGATACGTTGAGTGATTAAGTCGGCCTTATCTGTGGGAACACAATAGGAACACACAGCAATGAGGCCAAAGGACAGGTTACTCACCGCCAATCCCCGGCTGCCTCAACATACTACCAACTTGCCGAAGGACACTAAACTGCATCGATGCAACTTTCCACCATATTTCCAGACCTGCAATGATAACAAGCAAGTAGAATGACCCACCCGCAGCTAGCAAGATGAATTTACAGCCATGTTCATACCAGCGATGGAAAGTACGTTCTGATGGCGCACTTCTCAACTTGGCAACCTCATTGTTGTAAAATTTTCGAATGTTGGAATGCTCCTCACATGCCGTGATGATGCTATAATGCAAATTATTGATCAATACCAAGAAACCAAGTGAAGTGCGCAAGTACCTTTGACATTGCATGACCAACTGCATGTATGTTATCATGGCTATAAAGCTTGAGCCAGTTGCGTGAACCGAAACAAACTGACAGCGCACTACCATAGTTTCTACTGAGCCAACACCTAACTGGACGCTATCCTGCTGTTTGAGATAAGACAGGGTGTTATCAACCCACACTCTGACATCCAAATGAGAGGCAGTAGACTCTACATGAGGAGTGGCGAGTGTTGCAATGAGTGCATCGGAAGTGATAAAGCTGGCGGATTGGATAGACATAGCCTGCACCTGCCAAATTTGAGCTGCATAGAGGCACCTCCCATTATAAGGACAGGTGGGATCAGGACCAGGTGGCCTCATATTAATAGGCTCTCCAGGTAGAATGGGGCCTCTGGGGGGTGCGTAGGGATGTTGGTTAAGCTGACGAAGCTTCCTGGATGCTACCCGGCGTTGGTGACGACGACCACGAAGTTCTTCATCTCCATTGCCATTGTCCGGAATGACATCAATATCTTCTTCTTCAAATGCCTCTGCATCTAAGCTGGTCTCATTAGCACTGAGCCCTTGAAAGAAACAATCATCCACTGACTCCCCATCATCAGAAGCAAGGCTCTGACGGAAAAAATCTTCCACAGATGCTGAGAATTTGTGACATTTGGTGAATGACTTTTCAACAGAGAGAAAGGCACCATCTTCAGAGGACAAGCTGTATCATATCAAGGTTATCATCTGGAGTGGAGGGCTAAGGTATATGGCGTTCTCACCTATCATCCATCAAAGGCGGCCCAAGAGGGGTTCCTGCCGGCAGGCTGCGCATATACCAAACTCTCTCAAGTAAGGGTAAGGCCTCATGATTTCCACCCACCTGCCTTAGAGCATACTCTATAAGCTCAAGTTCAGCCGCTGTGAATTCCAGATTGAACTTGAATGGCTCTGCCAGCGATAGCGAAGACGATGGACGAGATGCATATGTTGACTGAGTCATGTTCCAATCAATTTCAGACTATACAGAAGAAAGTAACTGCTTAGGTTGAGCTCACTGTTGTCAGGTGCTGACAACGATGAGCACACATTCCCACCTTGATCATGTGATCAACATCAGCCAACTCATTAGATGATTAGATGTTTAGACGTCAGGCCTTCAGGGATTTAACAAATGGTCAAGGACAGAAATCAAATATACTTCACATCTTGAGAACAGAGAAGAAGCGGACACATGATATATGTAGACTAACATACTCCAATAAGCACTCTTTTGCTGGAAACAGCCTGTAAGCGATGAAGAGCTTCAAATCCAAAGTGATTAGAAGGCTTGGTACACAGGAATGATGCTCATGCATTTGGGTGAAAGAAATATGTGGGTATCAACTCCTGCAAGTGTTGAACCTGAAATGTATGGATGTGAACAGGAGTTCTGATGATCGGTCCTAGAGTTTGTCTCTTGTAGCGTCCATCTTTGTCCACACCATAGATGTTGATATCTCTTTGCAGTATTAATATGAAATACTGGGCGGATAGAAAGTGAATAGATACCTGATAAAACCAAGATCTCTGGCTACTTGTTGAATCTTATCCAGAGGCGGGCCCTTCAGATGCAGGATATGTTTGTACACCAGAATAACGTTGGCGGCAGCCGTTCGGTCCAGTGTCACATTAAGGGCCTTCTGACACCATTCATAAAACTTAAAACTCAACTCAATCAATATCAGCAAACATAAGCAAGTGACGCACTAGGCATACAATGAATGCGATGGCTTCCAGGGAAACATCTCCCTGCTGGTCCAGAATTTGATTCCAGTAGACATCAGTGATGCTAATGGAAGGATTAGATGCGACTGGTCATAAGACGATGTGATGCCAGATTTCTTTAGCCATCTGAAGGCCAATGATTTCGCCAATGATGTCGTAATCAGCCTAAATAAAGTCAGCTTGAGGTAAGTATTACTGCGGTGCGTGTAAAACACTGACAGAATCAGAAACAAGTTGTGTATCAAGAGCTGCAAGCATCCTCGAAGTCCGTGTCTGTAACTCGGCTTGATTTTTACAGAAATCCATAAGTTTCCCTGGCTGCAAGCAATGCCCGATGATTTTGTGCCAATCGGAAGCAAAGTTATTGGGTTTGTGATTGTACTGCGATCATCAGACATCAGTAGATTGTTCAGAATATAAATGATAAACATATTACCTGTTCTCTTAAATGGTGCCAATGGAAGCGTGTCCCTGAAACCAATTCCACTGGAAATATGATAGGACCATGAGCGCGCATCATTCAAGGTGTTCAACGATACTCACAATCTACTTATTTACAATCATCATATGACATACCACACCTGGAGAGCACCTCCAGGAAACATTGTGTGAGGAATTGATGCCTGACACCTGGCAACTTCACTACCTCCATGGCATGTCCATACCTACCCGCTACTAGACTTCCTATAATGCATATCTTGAACCACCGTATGTGTTACAAGTAACATCGGTCACATGGCCCCCCTATCATTTTCCCTTCATCCTCGCCCTCACCATCTACCGGCTCGTCCTCCTTTACCGACTTTCCGTTGACCGGATCCTCGGGACCATTCCCGTCCCTCGCATCGCCCGCCTCTATGCACGTGCACGCACGTTCCTCCTCTGATTAGACCACCAATGTGGTCCCGCACCTATGACTTTGTCTGACTCGTGCCACCAATGTGGCTTTCCTCTTTCTGTTTCCCCTGACTGCGGATTCCCGCACGTTGTATTCTTACCGTTGGCCCGTTCCAACGTTTCTCGGTCTCATTCCACATTCGACCATCCATCACTAATTCGGCTCTGTTGCCAACGCACCTATACCATTCTCGTTTCCCCTTTACCCTTACCTACTGTGCGGTAGCCTTGCCCTCAACCCTCTCCACTTAGTATAAGTAGTCGGTCACCTTGTACTAGATTCTCTAACTTGAATCTACTCAATCTTCCCTGGAACATACTCCTCTCTGAACGCCCCTTTGGCTTCAGTCTCTAGTATCTTTTCTTAGTTGCTCATCACGACTAAGTCTACCTCGATCGACCTCATCGTACAGACAAGACAGTCCTTACCTTGAGCAACTTCACAGACATCCGTCTACGAAGTCACGTGACATGCGCGTACTGTGATCGCTGCCGACTCGTCGTCGCCAGTCTCACTTGCTATACCGGATCCTTCCGGTTACGTCACGAACGTTAGCGGACGACGCCCCTCTTAGGGCTCCGCCTAACAGATCTATTTGAGTGCGTAACAGTATGATGTTTGTCTAGGGATTGTTGAGAGGTAGGTTGGCTATGAATGTCTGACAAAGGGAAGCATGTTCCGCCATCATTTTCATGTTAGCAGGCCAGCTTAACTCTTCAGAGAAGTTGGATGTCGATGTAGAGACTCATGCCTCTCATTGTGCAATATGGCAGTTTTCACTGGGGAGTACATGGCACGAACTTGTAGCATCACTCTGTGTGCTACCTGCAGCTATCTCTATATGAGGCGCAGCTTTCCCGCGCAACGCGCGCCATGCGCGCGTACCTTTCCCCCGCACGCTTTCCCGTGCTTGAGCGCCCTATAGCGCCAGCCATCTGGAAGCATCCATCCACTGTCCACCAAGTTCCCTAGTGCGTATATTTCCATTTCTCACATTTGCTTATCATTCCATCTTTATTTTTATCATGGACCCTTACTTACATATATCTTTACATACCTTACTCGGTAGCGCTTCGGCTCCGCATGACAGCGCTTAGGCGCCATACTTAAGCGCCAGCAGTACATACACTCACTTACTCTCCCACCAGAACGACAGAGGACTTACTGGTTACTACCCACTATTTACCTAGCAGAACATAGTAGAAATCTATTTGTTTACACCTCGCATCTCCCTTCTCTTGTCTTACATCATATCACCACTTAAGCAAACTCACTCTTACTCTCTCTCATATCTGTATACACGCGCACGCTTTCCCGCGCTTTGCGCCATACACGCGCGCATTCCCGTGCCTTGCGCGCACCTGCGCTTTCTCGCGCTTCGCATTGGCCAACCAGTAGCGCTTTCAGCGCATACCTCTAGATCCTTGCTGCACTCGCTTCCCCTTTAGGGTCGAACGCACTTGTCGTCTCAAGTATAGCAGACTAGGCAACGCGCGACCTTACAACAATTATAGATACAGTCAGGAGCACTGTTCGTGCCCTGCTGTATCATTGAACCTTCATCGATCCCGAGGGTTGCATCAAGTCTTCTGATGGAATAGATGGCGACGTAGACGGTCCATGTGCACCAGGGCTAGAAATGACATTGAGGTATCCTATCATGGTCGGTCAGTAGAGGAGTGTCCTACAAGTGTATGCACATACCTAATTGCGAGTCATAAGATCCTACAGTGTAGTCAGTCAGGTGACCGTATGTTGCGCCATCAAAAGACATGGCAGTAGTAAATGCAGGTTGCCAATAGAAGCCCATCAGCCATCGCGCTAGCTTTGTGCTGAAGTTGAGTTCAACTGCTCAGATAAGTCAGATAAGGAGGTTTTGTGAGCACAAAGACGCACGATCTAGCCATGTACTGATATCAAATTATGTTTGAGAACCCTGGAAATCACATTGACGTTGTAGAGTGTTCTGTCATCTTGCTGCTGTATGACAGAATATCTCATCATTCTAAGAAGTATTGCAGGATACTACTCACAGTGAAGCCGTAAATAGGTACAAGGACCTGATACTCTGCTCTTCCAGAGTCCTCAACAAGTGGTCCGCTGTGGTCATTCATAGCGATGTATCCTATGGGAGGATCCGTGGTCATAGCTACATCAGCTGGCCACTGTGATCACATCAGATAAAGCAGACCATCAGACATGCTAGATGACCTACATAGCATGGGCCAATGCTAGTTCCAGCTAACATGTAACATGCGAAGTCTAAGCTCATACGGAGTTCATCTAAGCCACCCTACAACATGACGACCACAGATGTTACTGATCTGATTGGAAAAAGAAGAAAAACTTGCCTCTTCCTAATGATATGTTAGTGTAATGCAAAGGGAGGCTTTTGTAAATGATACTCACAGCGTAGTCAAACATCGTAACATGCCCTGCACTTTTGCTGTAAATAAATGTATGCATGACGATCAAATGCAGGAAATTGGCAAGGGAGATGATGGACTTAGCGCCATGACTAGACTTTATAGCTTTCGAGATAGATCTGTTCATCAAATTTTATAAGGTTCATGCCCCAGTAGAAGTCCCCTTTTACAAACATGAGGTTGTGTGACGGGAGTCCAGGCTGAACATTAGTCACTCATACGTACAGCCATGTAGCAAGACGTTCCTGCCGCCGTTCATTCTAACTCGCTTACGGTGCATAGAGGCATGATCCCACTGAAAAGGTGGCTGTCCTGAGGAGACCAATGATTTAACAGACTACTAATCAGCACAGATAAGCAATGGCTTATTGAGTTATGCACCACATCAAGATGGGCGTAAATCACCTCAGCTCATGACAGGGTAGGAGAGACCAAAATGATATATAGACATGAATGGATGATGATGATGAAGGAGAGTAGTATTATATGTTGGCGGAATAGATAGGCATTGAGCACACTGATCTAGAAACATGAATGAACACATGAAGGATCGAAGCGAAGGGAGAGACTTATGATGTTACGCACTCAAATAGATCTGTTAGGCGGAGCCCTAAGAGGGGCGTCGTCCGCTAACGTTCGTGACATAACCAGAAAGGTCCGGTATAGCAAGTGAGGCTGGCGACGACGAGTCGGCAGCGATCACAGTACGTGCATGTCACGTGACTTCATAGATGGATGTCTGTGAAGTCGCTCAAGGTAAGGACAGTCTTGTCCGTACGATGAGGTCGATTGAAGTAGACTTAGTCATGATGAGCAACTAAGAAAAGATACTAGAGACTGAAGCCAAAGGGGCGTTCAGAGAGGAGTATGTTCCAGGGAAGATTGAGTAGATTCAAGTTAGAGAATCTAGTACAAGGTGACCGACTACTTATACTAAGTGGAGAGGGTTGAGGGCAAGGCTACCGCACAGTAGGTAAGGGTAAAGGGGAAACGAGAATGGTATAGGTGCGTTGGCAACAGAGCCGAATTAGTGATGGATGGTCGAATGTGGAATGAGACCGAGAAACGTTGGAACGGGCCAACGGTAAGAATACAACGTGCGGGAATCCGCAGTCAGGGGAAACAGAAAGAGGAAAGCCACATTGGTGGCACGAGTCAGACAAAGTCATAGGTGCGGGACCACATTGGTGGTCTAATCAGAGGAGGAACGTGCGTGCACGTGCATAGAGGCGGGCGATGCGAGGGACAGGAATGGTCCCGAGGATCCGGTCAACGGAAAGTCGGTAAAGGAGGACGAGCCAGTAGATGGTGAGGGCGAGGATGAAGGGAAAATGATAGGGGGGCCACGTGACCAATGTTACAAGTAACATATGATGTCATGAGCCAACTTTTATTCGGCTGACTGCCGTAGCAACTTGAAGCTGCTATGATGATTGAACTCAGATCTGACAGCGAGTCTCCAAGGAGGAGAGAAGAGTCAGAAGGATGTGTAGGATGTAATTGAATAAGAAAACTTACTATGCCAAAGCATTCAGAATGTTAAGGGATGTTCAAATTTTCAAATGTCTATGTTGGTTTCAGATGGCACCCATAGTAGTGAAGTCACACGCACTGCACAGCATGCCTGTCACAGCATCTGTAACATTGTGACCGTCACATTAGCTCGTTGGTATCTTGCCACTACTTTGCCATGAAGTTTAAGCTACGTAATCAATATATCAGGTAAGTAATGCTAAGCGCCATATGATCGGAGTATTCGCTGATCTTTGCAGACAACAGATGACATCAGAAGTATTCAACAGCAGTGGATTGATGGGCACTATGCCCAAGAGAGTGATTGTAAGTACTTGCGATGGTCATTGGTGCTTGCAATTAACAAATTTACAGATGCAAGCCGAATATTTCTGGGCTCAGGTAAGCTAATAGGAGATCTACTAATAGATCGATGTTTAAATATTTTAGGACCACGCCGCTGTCACTGGACCCAAATCCCAAATTGGGACAACATTGAGCGGGATGGCCCAAGGCCTGCTGAATGCAGCAACAGAGACTGTGGGCACTGCGGCGCGTTTGATAAACAGATTCTGGAGAAGGGTGAGTCACTGATTTTTGTATTCAATATCAGCTAAAATTCATCTAGGGGTGATTGTGACGAAGTAGATACATTTTGTTTTCATTTTTTTCATTTTTTCAAGCACATTATACCTACTCCACACACATACTATACCAGTTTGCCTCTAAGGTTGCTGCAAGCCTTGGTATACCAGGGGAGTTACATGCTGTATCACTACTGTACCATACTACCATCACTGATCAGCAATCAGCGACATCACTTGCATATCTATAATACAGCAGCTAAACGCTTAACATTAAACATAGGCTAGACTAGAAGTTCCTCTAATAAACTAACTTGAAATACCATGAACGACTTGTTCACAGTGTGAAAACTTTGACGCCAGAGTAGAGATTCCGATAATCTGATTAGTCAGAATCTCGGGACTTGTATGCAGCAGCCTTTCGTTCATACTACTATGATACGGCGTCGTCATTGATATCGATCAGTTTCCAACCATATAACTATCTAATACTCTGAGTCCGCCTGCTCCTTTGCAATCCTATGTCGTATTGATATATCCCTTATCATTCAACTTGCTCGCATCAGTAACATGCAATACTTTTCATCGCGATGAATTTCTTTCAGCTTGGTGGTACAGCTGTTGGGGACATCGGGTCGGCGCCGTTTATAGAGGCAATAGGCGAGTTCCAGTTTCGCATTTCGCGTTAAAGATGATAACTCATGTCTCACTTGTTTCCGATGTGCATGGTGAGACAGAAGATGAAGTCAACTCAGTCTACTGTCCATGCGCTGCGTGGGCTTGGTTTGCTGCCTGACCTAGTAAGTGAGATAGTCTTCACATTGCACAACTAACATTTTCTGGAGATTGCATACTGATTATTGGGTTGCCAGCCCTTTAAACCCTCTATCAAAGACAAAATCTTGCTGTTGCATTACAGTGTTAAGAATCGTCCATGATGTCTCATCTGTCTATTATGTCCCTCTACTTTTACAGTTACAATTACTGATGTGTTCATGTTTCGCTCACAAAGGTTTGCAGTGGAGCCTATCCTGCTCATGTGGGGTTCTCATCCCATGCCAGCAGGTTACGAAGCACTCAGCCCACCACAACCACATCCAACGCATCCCATCAGTTCCAAACGAGTTTCCATGGGTCTCCTCATGGTTGCATCACCATCAGGAACGTCTACAGGCATGTAATTAGAGTTTGGTGGTTTCTCTTGTCTGTTCTTATATACATATATAATGTTTGCTAACTCTCCATGTACTAGTGAAGATTGATAAATCTAGTGGTCGATGATCTTAACCACATCTTTGTTGATGTGCAGAACCTGTTCCAGCCCTTCCTAATTCTCGGGAGAATGTTAGCTTGGAGATACCGGATGCTTGGAGCGGAAATGACTTTGCTTGCAGTTCTTGGATTTACTCTGCCGAGTATCTTGTGGAATGTATGGGTCACTTAATGTTGCCGTATTCTGCTCACAAGAACTAATTAGGCGCATTGGCAGTGCTAGGAGGACTAGGATGATAACGTCATTGGCTACTGGTGGCTCAATTTGAATAAGGTCAGTTGGCTCATTAGAATTTTGCTGTGGCCCAGACTTGCGCTAATTTTCAATAGAATTACTATTCCAAGTGGGTCACCAGGCCTTCAGGTTTCCGCTGATGGCCGATTACGAAACCGGTCAGAGTCTCACCAAGCGGTAAACAGCATTGTCATTTTAACATAAAATAAATTTTGTAGGATGGTCGATGCTCAGAGCCAGCCATGGAACCCCCTTCTTCTCCTTCATCGACCATAACTGCGCTCTCGCATGATGAAGACAATATTTGAAGGATAGCCATACTCACCACAGAAGCTATGATATCTACGTCTTCGCTCTTACACTTTGATACAAAGTCACAAACAATGATTGACTGGTCCTGGTACGATATTTTCGTGCACGTATTTGATATCTTACCATGTGTTGATGCCATGCAGGCCTGCTGATGATGATTACAACATGGTTCCTCCAAATCAGTTCAATAACTATAGAAAAAGACGCCATCTCAAATATCCCTGCTGTCTTTGTGCCTACATGACACAACAAAACTATGTTGAGTCCACTGTGTATTCTTGGCAAGAAGAGATGAAAGGAACTTTGGTCTGGAGGGCAAGATGTGCCATGGACATTTGCGGATACCAAGGTCAGTTTTTTTTCATCCAGACTATGTGCATTTCTTTGATCTCACTAATTACCCAGTAAAAATCAACAAATATTTTCAGTTACATACGCAAAGCATCAGTGTGTATCACCTCAGAGGTGAGTTGCTGAGTCTAACAATAATGTATTCAATACTAACTAAGCGCTACAGAAAATCAGCCTCGATCAATACGCCAGGTGTGGTCTTATCAAGAACAAGATATTCTGTTTAGTAGGCTTGGCTCTTTCACCGGCAAAATCAGCCTGGAGGAGTTTCTTATACTGTTCCAGAATTGCAAACTGTGCAAGCAAGTTGGGACTAGACGGGCTATGGAGTTTCACAGGTGCTTACCACAGAATACCGCTTTTGAAAAGTATCATTAGGCTTCCTTGATTAACATCTGCTAGCTAGGACATGCATTGGTAATTACCCTACCAGTAATAACTTCTTTTAAAGAAATCTTGTCGTCCTAAAATTTCCCATGAGCTGCACACAACTGCCACATCTAAGTCTGTACTATCACCGGGCTAAACCTCCCCAGCCCACTACTTCTGTACATAATGATGTCGGTCATTGAGAACCATCTTTTGTCGCTCCTTCCACCACCAGCAATTTCTCGCAAGGGAGCTCTTGCTCTCTCTTCCTCTTTGGCAGGTGTTGATGGACTAAGGTGGTGGATTGATTGCCAGTGGAATCCGACCGTCAGCTAAGAGTCTTTCACTATCTATTAATCTGTCTTTAAATGTCTTATATTCAGCTTCAATTTGAGTTAAGACTACTGCTCTTTCTGCTGGAAGAACATGTCTACTCAGGCGATCTATGGCATCTTGTAATGGCGTACCAAATTGAATTCATGCAAGGAGAATCATTGCACAATTCACAACTGCCTCACAGAGTCCTTTTTGACAGAGAAAGAGAGTTTATGGAGGACAAGAAAGACAGAGCTCAGTTGGAATTGTCGCTTTATTCTCAGGCCATTGACCTCCTTCAGCTGAAGGCGGGCTGTAAGTTAATTGCACCATATGTATTTACATGAGGATGCTGATATCTGATTTTTAGCTCGTCCTGCTAGCTCGTGCCCTGTGATTCAGCTCTCTGCAAGAGACCGGCATCCTCTAGACAGGCTCTCTAGGGTCGGTTCTTCGGCACATCTGAAATGCAACGAGTGGCTAAGCAAAGTTTCAACAAGCGGAGACTCTGATGATGATGAAGGCGATATGGGTTTTGACAGGGGTGTTGGGCCTGCCATGGTTTATACTGCTGAAGAATCAACATCCATTGCGTCCAAGCTCATGACATTATATAAGACTCTGGTGGTGTGTAACGTGAGTACTGCTGCCATTCACTGTTGGATTGATTCTTATGATGTCTGGCAGGCGGGTCACTGCCCTTACCAGTTGGTCAATACATGGGTCGAAGAATGTACAGAGGACTTTTACATGGACGATCTTGCAACAGAAAGAGCTTCCTTGCAGATCATGATATTACGCGCCAATGATTTATCTAATGCTGAAGATGAAACTAGCTTTCTTCAAGCAGAATTGGGTCTAATGCAATCAAGATTTCGTCGCGCCCAAACCGAAGTGGAGCTCCTCTCAGACGCCATACAATACCTTACTGAGAGTAACACTGGTAAATGTGTTCATTGCTCACAACAACAACTCATCTTGACGTACATTTATAGCATGGTCCAGGGGGGGGCTGTTACAGGGATCTGTAACACCTACTAGAGCCCCAGCTCTCCCTACGCCTGCCCCCGCTCTGCTAGACTCCCCACGCGGCGGTGCGCCGCCTGCGCCTAGAAAGACAGCGGTCTGGACCGCTATGACCCCGCCTCATGGCGCTATGACCCCACCTGGCGCTATGACCCCGCCCCTGGCCTAGACGGCCTTGTACCTGATCCATGGAGGCTGTACGCCTCATGGACACCCTAGATCAGCGCATGTATACAGCATGTCGCTTCATGAAGATCCGGAGCGCGCTTGGCGCTTCCTGTACCTATGCGCAGCCGCACTTGGCGCTGCATGCTTGATCAGAGGTTAAGCCTCATGTATGCTATCTCTCCTCATGTCTAGTTATCTTAGATTACCGATATACTATAGATTACAGACTGAGCTAGAATACCTATAGCTAAACACTATAAGAGTAGATACATTGTCATAGATTAACTTCACTTTAATCTACTAGGTTCATCCCCAGAACTTGCTCATCTAAGCCTACCAGCTTCCTTGTGTGAGACCGCACTTCTAAGTCGCCCCCATACGACTTAGCACGTATCCGCTAGCCCTGCATCTTGACGAGCGCCGTCTTACCGAGATCGCCGGAGGAATCCTTGACGTTCCGTCAAGGCTAGACCACGCTCAGCTTCAGTAGACTCACTCGAGTTGTCGCTGAGAAGACCTATCCTAGTTCGCACACGCCGACCTACCGTCAGCGTAACAGGGGCTCAGCCTCGTCATCGCCTATTTGTTGACCAGTATAAATGCCAATTGGATAATTCTTCCGACACAGGAGAAAGCTACAGGACTGACTTCTGAACAGCTATTCATTCATGCCAAGTTTCAGGGGGGATGAGTGATTGTATGATTGTCGAGCAATGTTGATTAGCCACCATTGTCACACATATATTTATAAATCAGAAGGTTTTGGGTTGCGCAAAGGCTGAGCTCATCGTTGTCAGCACCTGGCAACAGTAAGCCCAATTGGGACTTCTAGGGCACAGGCCTAGATCTGGGCTCGTAAGTTAACGCATCACTGAAACTTTAGCCATACATCTTCATTTGTTGTCCTTAGCCTTCAATGAACCGAGATGGCATCCCAGCCAATTTCACTTGTACTTGTGGCCATGGGTTTCAGCAGGAAAGTGCCTTCACTAGACATCAAAAATCCTGTATCAAGGGTAAAAAAAGACTGTTCTCAGCTTTAAGCAAAGCTAAGGATCTTCTGGGGTCAGTCAAAAGGGCAAGGACTCACCTTACAGATCGTGGAAGGTCCTTGGGCCCACAGTCTACTCCTTCAGATGCAAGTTCACCATTGGCCATCTTCCCTCGTCTCACAGCCAGCAGCAATTCTCCATCAAACAATCCTCCTGCCTCTACATCTGCATTGCCACAGAATAATGCTATCATACCGCTTAACTGCGTCTTGGACCATCAGGGACGGGAGGATAGTGGCAGTGAGGATGTGCCTTTAGCCCAGCGTAGGACGAGGCGCAGCAGCATTCAGTTGCCAAAGTGCTACCGACAATTTGAGGATGTTCTACCTCAACCCCTTCCCAGCATCCCTATAAATGACTTGAACGTCCAGCAAGCTCCAGACTCACCTCCCCCTCTAACACATCCTCCAGAATTGCAACCTCCTTTTCGCACTCCTCGAAACATCTTTGGACTCATACACCAGTTTTTTTCCTCACACCCACTGTCTCATGATTCAGAAGAGGCAATCACACTGGAGGACATCAGTGCCATCCCCAGGCCAGAAAGAGCTCTGTCAGCCGCAATTACCACTGACGAAGTTTCACCTTACTATCCTTACTCCAATCGCTCATTTTTAGAACTCGGTAATTGGTATTGGAATGGGGGAGTACAGAAGTCTCAGCAGAGTTTCAGTGAACTGGTTGACATAGTCACGGATTCTGACTTTGACCGTGCTGGTGTTCTGGCGATGCCTTGGGACAAGATTAATTCCACCTTGGGTCAAAACAATTATGAGAAGGGTGGAAATGAATGGGAGGATGAGGACGCAGGCTGGCGCAAGACTGATGTGTCTATTCAGATCCCATTCGCTCGTACCAATGAACATGCAGGTGTTAGACCATACACAGCCGCAGAATTGTACCATCGTTCCCTGGTTGGCGTCATACATGAGAAGCTGGCAAATATAGGGGATGATGAGCTTTTCCATTACGAGCCCTATGAGCTCCTATGGCACCCTGGTCACCTTCAAAGCGAGGTCAAAATATATGGCGAGCTTTATACTTCACTGGCTTTTATGGCCGCACACCAGGAACTGCAAGATTCTCCTAGGGAGCCTGGTTGCGATCTTCCTAGGGTGGTGGTTTCCCTAATGTTCTGGTCTGGTAAGTAGCAAATCCCTGGAGTGGCAGTCAAACTAATATTCTAGTCAGACACTACTCACCTGACTAGTTTTGGCAATGCAAAGCTATGGCCTGTTTACCTGTTCTTTGGGAATGAATCAAAGTATCGTCATTGCAAGCCTTCTTGCCATCTTGGCAATCATGTTGCATACTTTCAGAAGGTAACCACCAAATTTCTATCATCAATGTTATGCAGCCACTCACAATATAGCCCCTAGCTTCCTGATTCATTTAAAGATTTTACTTGCCATCATACAGGGGGAAAGGGCGTCAGCCAAGAGTGTACTACACACTGTCAGAGAGAGCTGTTCCAGGCGCAGTGGGAGGTTCTACTAGATGAAGAGTTTTTGGAAGCTTATGAGCATGGTATCATCATTGTGTGTTGTGATGGAGTTGTGCGTAGGTTTTACCCAAGGATATTCACTTACTCGGCAGACTACCCAGAGAAGTGAGCCGTTTTTTTTATGACAAAGTCAGAAGCTAACGATACCAGAGCTCTTATCGCAACTATCCGTCAACTAGGCGGATGTCCTTGTCCAAGGTGTTTGATTCCAAAAAGTCGACTGCACAATCTCGGTATGACTAGAGATAGACAGCAGCGCACTACACTCCAGCGCTCTCATGGTGATCAAAAGCAATTGGTCGATACCGCTAGAAAACTGATGTATGAAAAGAATTACGGAGTAGACAGCACTGGGATAGAGAATCTACTGAAGCCTTGTTCTTGGGTGCCAACCTATGTACGCAACTCCGTTGATTCTTTCAGCCAAGCTAACATGTCACAAGAACACCTTTTCTAAATATCTCAGCATTCTAGGCTTGAATATATTTGAAGTGCTAGTAGTGGATCTTATTCATGAAGTGGAACTTGGAGTTTGTTGCTCACTCCTAATACATTTACTGAGGATTATATGTTCTATTGACAAAGATCTAGTACATGAACTAGATAGGAGGTCTGGTAGCCTTTTCCTTCACAATAAAAGGAATGCTCATACACTGTGTCTTCTCATAGATACCGACTGGTTCCATCATTTGGGCAATCTACTATAAGAAGATTCACTGCAAATACCTCAGAGCTCTCCAATATGGTGGCACATAATTTTGAAGATCTTCTCCAGGTACTGTGCAACGTACAGGCTAGATTAACTCAGCTGACTTTTTTGAAGTGTGCTATGCCGGTATTCGATGGTCTTTTTCCAGCTCCTCAAAACCAAATAGTGCAGGACCTTCTTTTCACGCTGGCTCATTGGCATGGCCTTTCAAAACTCTGCATGCATTCGGACTTGACATTGGATATCCTAGACACCATGACTACTGATATCGGCAACCAGCTCTGCAACTTCAAGGTTAACGTGTGCTTGTTACAGTAACATGGCATGAGTCCCCCGCCAGCAGAACAGCCCTCTGCCACCGCACGGCTATAGACGATACCGGAGTCTCACCAGCTCTATGACGATAGATGACGACAGATGATGATAGATGATAAGCGGCAACTGCCGGCTTAGATAAGCGGTCTGGACCGCACGTGACATGACATGACGACATAGGTCTAGAAGACCTATTTATGTTATCAAGATAGAAGGCAAGCCTCATGCTGCCTCATGTACTGATAGAAGGATGCCTCATGGATCCTATCTACGATAGAAGCCCGCCTCATGGACGCTATCTCTGACTCATGTAGATAAGCAGATTAGAACCCAGCTTTAGGCTGAGCTTAGATACGAAGAGTAGCCTTATATAAGGTCGAAGATTAAAGTAGATGTTCCTTACTTTAATCTTACTAGGTTTACCCTTGAACTCCTTGTCCCGCTAAAGCTACCTGCTCGACATCGACTCGTACCTTCAGTGACGCCTCTCACTGTCTGTAAACCCTGCTATCATCTCAGCGTAACCCCTCGTTAACCACCACGAGCTACGTTCGAGTACGCAACCTTTGCTTGTCTGTAAAGGCCGACGACTCTCAGCACTCGGTACCACTGTCGTGGTTGTTGCTGTTAGATTATCCTAGTTGCACACGACCGTTTGTTGTAACACAGACTCATGACGATATTTTCAATACCATCAATGACCTTCGGAATCAGGTTGCCGAACTCCGTGCTTGGAATGCTGCCGCCGCCGATTCCCTTGAGGCGTTGAATGTCCATGTGGCCGCTCAGGATGCCAAGATGCAGACAATGGAGAAACTCCACGCCGATGTCGCTGTCCTGCAGGAGCAAGTTCGTGCCTTGCATGCGGAATCTCGGTCACATGAGAACCAACTCTGTGCAGCCGATGTTAAATTGGCATCGCAGGGAAGTACCACTGCTGTCTTGCAGGACGCATATGAGGCCCTTCGACAATGTTTGATCCCCACTCTATCCATCCCCCCCCCATTACAATAATGCCCTGTTCTTTCCTGCTTCTAGCCACCAGCCTCCTTATAATCAAAGCCTAAGTGTGGGCCAGGCACAGGTGATGGAAAGGCTGTATTTTAACTTCACTCCAGGAACATCCACGGCCGCCAGGCCATCGGTCGCAACTGTCTCAGCGAGAGATACACTTTCAGGAACCATGGATGCAACTCCAGGTTTGTCAACAGTCGCCGGCCCATCGTCTAATTTTGGGATGCATGCACCCTCAGGCCCTTCCGGTAGTCGTGTCACAAGGAGTTCTGAAAGCACAGGCAACCTTGGTACATCGGCCTCTGCATTTCGCCACAATTAGATGACTGTTCCTACATATAGTCTTTCTATTTGTCGATCCGTTAAGGTGTCAGGCGCCGTCATGTGTGATGACTGTGGTGTTAAATTCAATGTCATTGTTACCTAAATATCCCCAGCGTCTGCCAGCGAGCATATGTCATTACGTGTCCGACCTGCCTTGCACTGGCAAGGCTCGGGCATGTGTCTCTCATTTCCGGTTGCCCTGCATGTCTTTTTTACGTCCCATCATTAATGGTTTGATAAGCCCTCATCATAAAAGTCAGCAAACATTCAGTTTCCGTCCCTCACTCATGAATCCCATTCCTGCAGATTGGGCATTGGCCACCACCCATGTTGCCAGTGACTATGTCTCCCGGCAGTTTTGTTCCATTGTTGGAGTAATACCAAAAGTCCTCCCTCCCCCAGAGCTTGATGTAGGATTGCTTATGGCTTGCTGTAATCTTGCGCGGTGCCTGGCTGATGCGTATCTCAATCCAGGTTTGACCTTGCCACCAGTCCGCCGCTAGTACTGATTTGTGTCGGCACCAGTGACTATCAACTTTGATATGGTCCGGTATTCGGACGCGTTGCATATGCAAGGATCCGGCATGAATGCCTGGCGTGAAAACTCTCTCCTGGAACGATACCCGCTGGTTGCTCAACTCATTCTTGAGCGGCCTACTGTTGTGCTTGACAAATTCGGTGTGATTGTTTTATGGTATCTCCCCAGAGCAATTGATGTGACCATCCAGGTTGGTGTCCGCCGCTTGCCGATGATGTTTATTGACTGTTGTAGAATGATATGTTGGCGGTGACCATGATGATGTTGGATCATCTGGGTAAGAGTGTCAGCCGAACTGCCGCCACGAAAGGGAAATGGCGAACCCATGAGAGCAATTTTCAAACCAGCGAACATGGCCTCACTCCGGGTTGTATTAATCTATCTCCAGGATGGTTTCTGCAAGGTCATCCGGTACATTGGCATTTTACACCTGAAAGTACTTGCTCATGTCAACAGGCTCCAAAGTTCCATCCTGAAGTATCGGTGACTCTTAAAGAGGATGGGTCAACTTTATGTCAGGCGATCCGGCGGCCGGCAGTCTTGGCTGCTGCTGCATTGAGATTCATGCATGGCGGCCTGTACTGGTCGTCATTGACAACACAGCTCGGCCTTGGTATATGGGCAGACAATAATCAATTGATGGACATGGGAAATTGCCTCAGACAATGGGCGTCTTCATTTACAGTTCTCGCCGTTATGTGCAATCGTTGTTCACCCCTGCACAGAGACTCTCAATCCCTTGCTCAATGGTTTGATATCATGACCAGTATCGGCGATTATGGACCAGTGCGAATGAAATTTCCCAATATCAGCGTTGAAATTGCCTATAATTCGGGTGTTATGGTAGGTACTTTGGGGAACATTGTTAGGCATGGGGTAGACCGGGTGAACGGCGACAGAGTTAGCTGGGTGTGGTACATGAGGGATGATGTTCATAAATTTGTTGATGTACCCCGAGAAGACTATTCCAAGTACGAGTCAATAATCGCCGATGCATTCTGTTGCAGATAGAGGCATAGCAGATGTGGTCCATAGGGATGATATTCATCAGTTTAAAGTACTTCTTGTTGCTAGTGAACACCTGTCATGTGTCCAATGGATTGGTGGTTTGCTTGTAGCGCCATGATGCTGCACGCCGGGATTTGTTATGTCTTGGGCCCACCTGCTTGCTAACATACCAGGCATAGGCCCACCACTGTAAATGGCACCGTCCCCAGGCCCACAGTTGCTTTTACATACCAACGGTGAGCCCATCTTACACATGAACGGCATTTGGGCCCGACCGGTTAATATGCATACACACTATGTGGGCCCATCCTAGCGATGTGAGATACGGCCCGCCTGAGCGCCAACACTTGGAGCCTAAGCCCATTTGTATGTGTAGTAGCTGCGTGCCCGGCCCACCCCTCTATTCTGCATTGCATGAATGGGCCCATTCATTTGTTCAACACTTCACAATTGAATGCAACATCGCTGTGTAAGGCCGCCGATACCCGGTGTTAATGTAATGCAATTGCCGCTTGCAGTAATAATATTGCATCGCCGCCCATAACTCCGAGATGGCATTCACCCAAGGCATATCGCGAATGCAAGGCACCGGCCGATCGGCGACATCTGTGCATGCATTCTCCGGCTGCAACAGCCAATCATGTTTGCTGGCGGCCATTTACTGTTGATTCTCCGGCGTGTCTCATTTTCTTTCACTGCCCATAATATCACCGGCAGTAGTATTCCAGTGACACCTGAAACCTGTGGGCCCACTCGAGACTGTTGAGAAATTGCTTTTCTGCTATACCTCGGGCCCACCTGTGAGCACAATGTATTTCAATCCAGAGACCCATGGGCCCACCCCAACCCAGCAATGAATATGAGCCATGGGCCCCACCCTAGCCATTGGGTACACAACAACAAAGGGCCCACTCCATGACACTGACTTACAATTATAATGTGGGCCCATGGTGGGTTGGCCCATGTCACTTGGCAGAAATGTCAAGGTGGGCTGGACAGTAAGTAAGGAGAGATGTCACTGTATTATGTGTGATGTGAGCAGCTCTCATAACATCAGCTGGACTTAGAAACCCAAAGGCATCTTCGCTATCTAATGCAGGAAAACAAAGGCGATCCAAGGCAGTCCTGCGAAGGTCAGCATGCCCAATTGGTGCATACCATCATACAAAGAGAAATTCCATTCTAAGGGCAGTATGATAGGGGCCGCCAGTATACACAATGTTGACATGGTGCACTCCTAGCACCCTGGCATAGCGATAGCGGCCATCATCACTAGTGCTGTTAAGAACCATGATGTCACGGTGTAAGGTCTTGGGATTTATGACATCTTGATCTCGTCGTGTGTCGCAAGTTGTGTAGTTGAAACGAGCGATGTTATGGTGATAGATATGATTGCGTTTGAAGAGGACTTGATCTGTTCCTCCTTGATATGAGTCACCAGGTTGAGATACCAGGATGCACAAAAGAAGATGCTCTTTTAGGCGTGAATAGTAATTCTATAATGAAAGCATGTTCAGCTATCAATGAATCATTGGTAGAAAAAATGAACCTGCATGGCTGGATCACCTTCATGCAACCGCAGGTAAGAGCCAATGTCATTATTGACCTTCTCACTCACGCCAATGTGGTGGTGTACACAAGGTTCATAAGCCATACTATCCGGTGCTTCACTAGGTCTTGATTTTTGAAGACGACTCTTGATACACCTAATATGGGTTTGGCGACACTCAATTTGAGTGAGCTGCCATATAAAGGATTTCCTATCTGTTCTAAGATATCGCCTCTTGCCAGTGCGGTGCTCCAATTCCCCCTGTCCAAATATTTCAGATGATCAGTACAGCTGCAATTGTCAATGCTTACTGGTTCTGTACTGTAAAAATTGGTTGTTCCAAATCGTCGAATACAAGACACATAGTCTCCAAGAGCATGGATCTTGTAAGTCCACAGGTTGAAGGAAACTGTCCTGCGAAGTTTGTTGCTATTTGCTGGTTCCTCTACCGTCATAGTCTGGCCATTACCATCGTTAGGGAGGCCATTGGTTGCAGATTTGTTCTTCTTGCCAGCCTGGGTTTGACGAATTGCTTCTTTGGCTTGACGGCGCGAACGTGCGTTCACTTCCCTATCAAGCTCTTTGGCATCAAATGCTGAGCACTGTTACGACAAACGGTCGTGTGCAACTAGGATAATCTAACAGCAACAACCACGACAGTGGTACCGAGTGCTGAGAGTCGTCGGCCTTTACAGACAAGCAAAGGTTGCGTACTCGAACGTAGCTCGTGGTGGTTAACGAGGGGTTACGCTGAGATGATAGCAGGGTTTACAGACAGTGAGAGGCGTCACTGAAGGTACGAGTCGATGTCGAGCAGGTAGCTTTAGCGGGACAAGGAGTTCAAGGGTAAACCTAGTAAGATTAAAGTAAGGAACATCTACTTTAATCTTCGACCTTATATAAGGCTACTCTTCGTATCTAAGCTCAGCCTAAAGCTGGGTTCTAATCTGCTTATCTACATGAGTCAGAGATAGCGTCCATGAGGCGGGCTTCTATCGTAGATAGGGTCCATGCGGTACCCTTCTATCAGTACATGAGGCAGCACGAGGCTTGCCTTCTATCTTGATAACATAAATAGGTCTTCTAGACCTATGTTGTCATGTGTTGTCACGTGCGGTCCAGACTGCTTATCTAAGCCGGCAGTTGCCGCTTATCGTCTATCATCATCTATCATCATCTATCGTCATAGAGCTGGTGAGACTCTGGTATCGTCTATAGCCGTGCGGTTGGCAGAGGGCTGTCTGCCGGCGGGGGACTCGTGCCATGTTACTGTAACAGTCTGCAAGACTGATGCCGAGTCCTGTTTGACCTGGAGTGTCATTACCTGCAAGTCCTTCACCACTGCATCAGCTGGTACATCAATGTCCATAAGTTTGGTGCATGATGGCGGCGGCAGTGCTTGGAGCCTTGGTGCTGGAGATGACCCTGATGATAGCAAAAAGACAGAGACAGCAGTTATAGGTGGTACAGAGAGCCTCGTTGGCATGGCATGTCGTAGGCTGGCCACATTGTCATACGACAAGATATCCTTCGTCTTGTGCACCATGTTGAGAAAAATTCATACACCAAGGACACAAATACATACCGCCTTCATATCCTCCAACACTTTCCCAACAGCGCCGGAAGTTACTGGCGAGTCACCTTCATTGTCCTCCATAGACGGAGTGCGCCGGTGGTTACTTTTGTGCTGCTTGCCTTTATTGACCATGCCGGCAGCCATGCTCTGAATGAAAATGATGAGGAAAACATCGGGCAAAAATCAAAAGTCCCTACCGGCAGAGCGGGAGGATGGTCAAACCATGGCTTGCATTGATCGCCAGTGTCAGTGGACACCGGCGGGCGGGTGGCTGGTAAGGTGCCCTTCCTCACCTCCTCATTCTGACTGGAGTCCCTGGATCATTTCTTATGTGACTGTGCGCTACCATCGCCATCCACATTATCCACCAGAGGTTGGACCTGTTTGCCCTTACCCTTTCGATCCTTCACAGCCAGCTTGGAGTTGCGTCCGCCAGTAGGCTGCGTCTGCTTCCTCTTCGGCATTGGCCGCTGCTGAACAACAATGGCATTTCCTTTCGTAATCTCCACCGCTGCGATCTCATCGCCATTGCCCGGTGGGACAGTTTGTTGTCCCTTGTCTGTGCGAATATGCGGCGGTATGGCATCAGTGGCAACAACATGGTCAATGATTTCGATTGCATCACTGTCAGAACTCTCCACCACCTTTGAAGACTTCTTCTGGATGCGCATTGGCCTTGATGTCGGTTTTGGCCCCACTCGAGGTTCCGCCGGTGCATTTGCAATGATGTCCTTGTTGGGTTGTACCGGAGGGTGGGATGACGGCGATGGCATTGAAGAGGTAATGAATAGGACAGCCTTTTGATACAAAGGATGTTTGTGAATCCGCAGATCATCCATGACAATGTTTTGCCATACAGGCACACTTAGAAAGGATTGACGAGTTACAGGGTCCAAATGCTCCTGCAACTCCATCGCCGCCGATAGCAACATCGGCGGGATCATGCTCGCCGACTGGCCATGTTGCTCAAAGACCAGTGACTGGTCATAATTAAGTCTAACCAGTCCACTGTGTTCATCTTGGCATACTCACTAAAATTTGTGCGATTTCCATGGCCATCTTGAAATGGCCGGTGGGGCCATTCTTCCACTCTACAGCCTGAGAAATGATTCATTCCACTCCGGCGGCGGCATCATTAAGAGCTTTGTTGGAAATCTCTGTGGATGGCATAATATGTGGGTGGAAAAAAGGCAAAAGTCCACTCCATCAATTGTGACAATATATGTGAAATGGAACCAATTAAAATTTGAAGTCCACATAAATCAGCTCGGGTCCCGGTGCCATGAGGCCTTAGAAGCACTAATGTGGGCCATGTGCCTAGTTTCTCATGGAGAAGCTGCATTGTTTTGTGGCCCAAATTCAAACCCCACAGTGGTCCAAACCACACTTTGGTGATATTTAATGCTAGCTTCTAGAGGTCACCATCTCACTTCCATCTCACATTGATTTCCACCTTCGACTAAAATGAACCACTTAAACTCCCGCCGCGTCCATTTTGATATACCGATGGACGATGAGTCTGAATCTCAAGTGCCCTCATCTAACGCTGGCGACAAATCGAACAGTAGGTTTCATTTCCTGCCAAGATCAAAGTTTATCTCATGATTTCCTGAAGTGATGTATTTTGGGATTGGGCCTCCGCCAGTGCTTCCAGGTACTGACACACCGGCTGGGCCGGCTGCACCGCCATACCAGCTGAACTTCAGATTTGAACCTGAGCAACCGACCTCACCAGTCATGCAACCGCTGTTCAACTTTGGGTTTCATGCTGACACAGAGTTGTCACCGTCTCATCCAGCGGCAGCTCCTAGAGCTGACATGGCAGTTGTGCCGTCGACACCACCCTACCGGCTCAACTTTGGGTTTGACCCTCATGAGTCAACACTGCCAGCCCTTCAACCGGCATTCAACTTTGGGTTTGACGCCGGCATGGAGATCTCGCCCACACCTCCTCGAGCAGGTTCATCCTTTTTAGATTTCGGCTGGAACACATCTGTCACAAGAGATGTTCCAGTCACACCGGTAACCAAACCATTCAATTTTGGAATGGATTTGGATCTTACTCCACAATGGTCAGCGACACCACCCGCCATCCTCACTCCCCCGCCACCAACGCCAAGACCAGCATTCAACTTTGGTTGGAATCTATCGCCGACACCATCGCCGGGTCCACCACTTCATGTCGGATATGATATCACGAATACACGTAAGTCCATCATCGACGACATCTTCCTTACATTTATATTGACTTGCATTCACAGCATTCCAGTTCAATTGTCAAGTTCCTCCGGCAAAGGTAGGAGTTTGGCAACCAGTTCTGGTGAAGGAGGCCGTCCCTACTCACACGCCGCCCGCTTCTCATTTGAATATGGCGTACACCCCAAAGGCACTGCCAAATGTGGAGTTTGCTGTCCCGAAGAAAAGTATGCTGAGCAGTAGTTCCGACACATTTGAACCTCGGCCCTCCTTTCTGAGCGTGGTCGGCGATGCTGAGCAGGTGGTGAGGAACATTGTGGAATGGCTCCAAGGCGATGAATGTAAGCACCGCTTCATGCTCCCTGTCGAACTTAACTGATTGTTCACAGTCGATAAACTGGCGCAGTTGATGCTGGGCAGCATTGTAAACCCCACCGATGATGTCCGGGACCCCAAGCCCACCAAAGTCCTGGACAGCAACTGGGTCATATTGTCAGTGTTCTGTGAGAGCAGGGATAAGTTGACTCAGATCTTTGAAGATTTGATCCACTTGCATCACATGGCGGCGGTGCAGGCCAGAGTTGTTCCAATGGTGGCCTCTCTCTCAACACAGGTGCAGAAAGTGGAGGGAAAGTCTCGAGGTACTGAGTAGTTACCATATAAGAATCACCTGTAGATAGGTTTGTCACTTAATGTGGTGTATATGTATCGACCGGTGTTGCACTGGGTATAAAGTGATGTCATTGTCAGTATTCTACTGATTTGAGATAAGATCATCACTTCTTGCCGTGTTTACCCAAAGATGCTTCTGGCGCAAATGTCTTGCTCCTAGTTCTCTTCGCCGGAGTATCCCTAACAGCCTCAGGGGCACGGCGTTTTGATCCCCTGGGCTGATCATCAGCGGCATGTGTGACCTCCTTGCTTCTCATGACAGCACCCAATGATGTAGATGGCTGTTTTATGGCCTTCTTCTGAGACCTGGCAGGCTCCTTAGTATTGCCGTACATGGCCACAGATGGTTTTGGTACATTGCCGACGGCGGCCGATAGCTGCTGAGCACTTCGCCATGGCAGAGCAGTGTTCAACTTGATCTTGTGACGCTTGGTCGCCGGGAGTGTGGCCTGCCGTGATGGTGTCACATCTTTCCTCCTGGCAGTGAAAAGCAGTCCAACATCATCACTAGATGAGTCACCATCATCGCCATATAACTCATCCTCCGAACTGCCATCCTCAGCGGCCCGGCGAGATGGTCCAGCAGTCCCTTTGTGCTTGCCTTTTTGTTGTTTCCACTGAGTGCGGTTTCCATTCATGGCAGCCTCCTGGTGTGCTGGTGACACAACTGCCTCACAGATTTCTGAATCAGAATCTTGCCACGCCATGAATGAAAAGGCTGGTTGAATATTTTGTTCTTGCCGGGCAAACCAGAATTGTAGCAAGGCACTTGCATCTGATATGTCCATCTTAGAGGGTTCCTTGAACTGCACACCGGCAGGCCACTTTGTGCTGTCAAAGAACGCCGATGGGTCCTGGCTTACATCTCCCTATGGCACCGCCGACTTGAAGGTGTCTTCCCCACCACATGTCCCTATACTTGGTCAGAACAACTTCTAATGTGACATGGAAAAGCAAGTACTGTATAGTTTCATAAGGAAAGATCGAATTAAGTGCTGTTGCTTGGCACGATTCCATCCTGTTGTGTCCGGCAGCATTGGCCATCCATCGGCGTCCTCCTCGAGTTCAATAAGCTTCTGGGGCTGCTGCTTCTTTGACTTTATCATCTGGGGCTCTTCCCCATCCTCCGCATCTAGACCTCCATTACTATGTTTTGTGTGACAATGATGATCTGTATCTTACCGAATTGCTCCCCAGCATATTCTGCCCATTCTGGCATAAAAATGCTGTCCCAATCCCTGGTCTTGATGAAGCTCTCGCCATTTGCAAACTGTTCATTGAAGTCATGACTTCCACACGGTTAATGTCAATGCCAGCAAGACCAGGAGACCACACACCCTCCTAACATGAGCTTCCATTTGCTGTTGTTCCATGCAGACAGCACACAGACCCTCATTCCAGCTTGCTTGAACATTTCAGTGGCGAAATGCTCAATCATCTCGGCGCCCTTGCTCTCGGCAACCTCGGCTTGAACGTCCGGCGGTGCCACTTGATTGTTCCATTTCTCCACTGTGACTGCCACCTGTTCCCTCTCCTCCCCCGACAAACCATTGATCACTGACTTTGCCGCCCTTTGCCACTTGCTTATCATCTCCTCACTTCCAGCTATCTCCCCGGTCTCCTCTCGAATGAGGTGTTTATGAGTCTGAATCAGGACTTTCCTCGCCGTCCAACGTCTGCCATACTTGATGAAGGGCTTTGCATTTTTTTTCCGTCGAGATTGATTTTGCAACCATTGCTTGTAAACCTACCAGGAACATTCTATCAACACTCTGATATGTGTAAGATGTCACAAACCTTTTTCTGAGCTTTCAATATGGCTCAGTCCTTGGTAGGAGCTTGGAGTGAGGCTTCCTTGTAGATGGCGATGAGCACCCTTGATCTTTCTTTACCTTTCACCGACCTCCAGTCCTCTAGATGGTCCCTGAGGACCATGACCTCTGCCTTGTCTAAGTGAACCTTCTTCTGCTGTGAGAGGACAATAGGAGATTGAGTTCTTGGCATGTTGGGTTATGGATGATGGTGATTCTGAATGGTTCAAGATTCACAAATACTGTAGTTGGTTGATATGGGGCAGTAAGGTTTGGTTCCTCGGCCGAGATCCCACAATGTTTCTCTGTTCTGCTCGGTTCACCATATATTACAGTTCATATTGGGCACTTTTCATATATATCATTGTTGTGTTCAGTTGAGATGAAGTGGTGTTCCTTGTATCACAGCTAATATTATGTACTTTTGATGGATATGGTTGCTGTGTTCTCTTCAGATCATCTTATATTAAATTCTGGGTCTTAGTATTATGTACTCATACTGGATATGATCCGAGCATAATCAAATTAACCCAAGTATCATGTTCCATTGGCCAATTGATACCTCCTGCCCTTCTTGCAGATTCTCATTGCAGTGAACAAATGAAAGGTTCCACACTCCAAGAGTGGACACCCAAACAAAAGTATGCAGTGGTAGAATGGCAGAAATCATATCGGACCAGGATGGTAGTGGGCAAATGGGTGGAGAGACCCATGATCAGTCAATCAGTTCTAGCAACCCCTATCAAGTCTGCCTCTAAGCAGCCATCTCATGACATGCTTCACCATGGTGGAGATGACTTTCTTGGGGAACTTGATGATCACAGGGTGGTGATTCCACTGCACCTGCCAAAATCCCTGGTGAGCCTTTCCTCACCCTTACCTTTTATACACTGCTTATCTGAACTCAAGAGTCAAAACGACTATATAAGACAATGGGTCCCGAAGACAAAAGCATATCTTGAGATACTCCTGGAAAGGGAGGTACCATCAGATCGGTCATGTATCATCTGTGGGCCAGATGGTGTCTATAAATGTCATGGGTGCTTTGGTGAGCCTCTCTATTGCACAAGTTGTTGCAGAACCCAGCACCAGAGACATCTCTTCCATCGGGTCAGCCAATGGACAGGCTCCTTCTTTGAGGAAAGTTGTTTGGTCAAGAGTGGGATTGTGATCTGGCTTGGCCATGATGGAAAGCCATGTCCATGGGATGATAATGTAGAGGATTCTGTGGTGTTTACTACTGGGGAAGATGGAGCCAACACCACAGACATGGAGAGTACATCAGAAGATGGCGCCGCCCCATTTTCAAAGAACGCCGATGACCTCCCGACCGGCGTGCCATTTATAAAAGGCAACAGCTCTATGACAACGATAGTTGACAAGTCCGGCATACATACACACATGGTAAAGTATTGCACATGTCCCAATGCCACCACTGCCAATATACAAATGTTCAAAATGGGCTTATTCCCGGCGTCATTCTTGGAACCGAAGACAGCATTCACTTTCGATGTCCTAAATGACTTCTTGCTTGACAACCTGGAGTGCAGAACCTCGGCGATGAACTACTACAGCAAATTGAGAAGGATGACAATGACCATCTTTCCGCATTTGGTGCCGGTTAGTGCTTTCATCCCTCGCCGAGCATGTTATTAATTGAAATACAGGACCGGTACTGGGAGCTCATGAGGGTGGCGAGACAATGGAGAAAACTCAAGCTTCTCAAATGGAATGGTTTCGACCATGAGGAAAAGGAAGTCAAACCCGGCGATCTAGCTCTCTTTTGTCTGGCGTGTCCACAACCAGGAATTAATGTCACTTTGCCTGTCAGAGAACTCACAGAGGATCCAAATGTGAACAAAGGATCAGATTTACAGACTCCAAGTTGGCTATACACCAGATCACTCGTCATGGATGGAAACTTCAAAGCCGAGCATCTCCATGCAGTAAATCCTGGTGATGAGGTGTCTCTCATGGACGGCCGTGGGTTTATGGTAGGAGATGCCTTGTACAAGGAGCATTTGGCCATTGCACAAGACACCGTTCAACAATCGGAATGCAACAACCATCGCGCGGTGAATCAGGCAAATGCATCGCGTCACAGATTGGAAGCAACCGGCATCAGCGGGTGCACCTGTGCACGGCATGGCTGTTTTGTTCCTCACACCATGGTTGATTTTCAGGAGGGAGAAAGGTGCGTTGGAATACATCAACAAAAGCATGCCATAGCTGAGGTTATTCAGACAAATGAACATGGATTATGCGTTGTGCGAGGCGTTAAAAATAAATGCCGATGGAATCCGCTGTGCATTGACCTTTTATGATGTCAACTGTCAGTACCACAAGCATCTAAAGGACCGCATCGCCGAAAGTCCAATCTTGGAGATCTGTGAAGAACTGAATATTATCCCTGGCATTGGACTATGGCATGTGCATGGCCATCAAGACAGTTTCTATGTGAGATATGCATCAAATTTCATCAAGGGTGCTGCGTGGATTGATGGCGAAATCATGGAGACATTATGGGTGCCATTAAATATGATCTCGCCGGCCGCCCATGGCATGGGAACTCTGCACCGCAAGGAATGCTTGGACTATTAAATGAATGATTGCAACTTCATGAAAATGATCAGAATGAGTGTGTGCTCCTTCCGATACATTTCAACAACTCATAATAGGCCATACAGGCAAGTCCCTGTGCAAGAAGTACAATAAGGCAGTCAGGGGGACCGCCAACAGCAAACTGGTGTTTGAAAAGCTTGATGAGACCGCCGATCCTGTGAAAGTTTGGGTATGGGAGGCCCAAGAGAGAGTGGCCCACCAGCGGCGTCGCCATGATCCAACGGCAATGGATATTTATGAAGTACAACTACAGAAAGGTATGTGTGATGCATTTATAGCAAGTCGGTTCTCATCCAATTACAGCGCCGACAAGAAAGCAGCTGGAAATATGATTGTTAGCGGAACCAGGGCAGCACCCAGGGCCTATCTGGCAATGGGGTGCTGCTACATGGCTGTCAGAGGGTTTGACAATTGAGGAGGCCCAGGTCACATTGCAAATGGCTATTAGAAGACTCGGTGGTCGGCCGACAGACACACAGCGGTTGCGTATTGCACGCCGCCGAGATACGTTACAAAGGGATATAGATCATTGGAGATAGGCCGGACTTCCATTCCTCGGCGACAGCATTGGCAGCGCGCTCAGCGATGATGAAGATTTAAGCATGGAACCGGACCTTATCATGCTTGAAGAAGATTCAGATGCAGGAATAGAACAACAACCAAAGTCCTATCAGCCAGAGAAGGTAGTTATTCCCCTGCCGTCCAATTTGGGCCAGGATACATGCACAGCGTTCGGCATCGATGATTTGGTGAAGCAAGAGCTCATTCTCCGGGAAGGCCAGGCCAATGATGCTCTGCAAAATATCAGAGTGCATTTGGCTGATAAAGCGGTCATTTTTCAGAAGACTGTCCAGGTTGCTAAATCTCAAGCGACTTCCACTCGAGCTTGGGCTCAAGTGCACTCGGTAGATAGGGCGGTCAGCATTCAGGCCAGTATCTATTTAAAGTGCCGCAAACAACTTTGCAGCCTTGGCGCCGATGATGCTTTGCTCCGGCGATACCAGGCCCTGGCAAAGGACCACCTTAAAGTAAGTACCGCTGTCGCCGATCCCAACTCATGCGGACAGCGAAACGACATGCTGCCTTGGTTTTGGTCCCTGGATGTGGCAGGAGATTCCGAGGGTAGTGACTGGTTAAATGAATGTGAGTGATTTATATCGGTGCCATGTCACTGTGTCTGATCTCGCCGATATTACAGTTTACTGGGTACATTGGCTTCGGGCAAAGGCTTTGAAGGATCGGTGGGCGGAGGAGATCTTGCTTGTTCAGCATGAAATGGATTGGACTTGCACATTTTTCCTTCACAAAGCTGAGGAGTGGAAACGTCTTGGCGTCATTGCGAAGGCGGCCCAAAAACAGGCTCACATGGCTTACGCGGGGAGGCAGGGGAACATTTATGAATGTCTCTTGGAAGAAGCTAGACAGGCATTCGACCGGACGACAGGTAAAATACTAACACCAGTAATGAGAAGTACTGTCAATGACTTATAATGGACGCCAATGTCCTTTGGTCAATACCTTAGCATGATATTCAATTATGTGGTGCCGCAACAAGAATTACACCGGCGGCCGTTTGATTATCACTCCAGGTACATTTGAGCTTCAGTAAAGTCTACCAGCAGGTGTATTCATACAGGTACATAAATTGGTAATACTAATGAGTCGGAGCCCGGTGCCGCCGCTCATTGTGCCACCTCCCTTTTCAAATACTTGGTTAATTTTTCGGTTGTGGCGATGGCGTTTACTACATCCTGCCCAAGTGCGGTGTCCATTCGAAGCATTGTAGCGGCCACCATTTTTGCCTCCACTACTTTGTCTTCAAGCAACTTCACAATCAGTTGGCCTTCGTGAAGTACCTTGGCATGGATGCTGGACAGTTGTGCAACTGGCGTGACCATTGCATCGGCCACCATGGCTGGCATGATTAGGATTTTCCCTTTGGGCTATAGCCAGCGTCGGTTAATGTCTGGAGATGAGTTGAGACAACCTCACCAATTGTTTAAAATGTTCAGCGATAATTTCCTGCACCTCCACACAGTTTGGATATTTGTGGAGGGCAGCCTCGTCAGCTATGACGTCAGGCACATTGATCCACCATGGCATCCAATAAGTCCTGGCCAGGCGACCTTTTTGCCAGGGTCCGGCCGGCGCCGCCAGCAGAGTCATGAAGCTGTCATACACTTCCTCGAAATTGGTGAGGAGGCCGACGAAGAAGCAGAGATTCCTCGAAAGCAGCAGGCTGATTGAGAGCCTGGCACAAAAGGATATCCAAGGCAAAGTGAAGGACTTTGTGATTTATTAGTCCAGCGGGCAGCTGATGAGCTAAATACTTACCTCTCCTTCCCAGTTCAGGTATTGGCCGATGATCCGGTGTGTCTTCTGTGGCAACTTGAGCCTGCTAGACTCCAGCTGTGTCCGAATTGCTGACAGGCGGGAGGTGGCATACTCAAAAATGGTAGCGATATCGGTCAGGTCTAGGTGCATTTCGTCGGACATGGAGTCTGCCGACATAGTGGCAGAGATGGTGGGATTAGACATAATAAAATTATGTTCCAAACTCATCATGGCAGGGCCTTTAAATAGATCTAACTGATCGGGACTTGAATTACATAATGATGTGGTCATTTGTGATTTCATTTTATTGTGTGATTCGGCGGGTGTTGCTGATGTTCAAACTTGTTAATTGTGGGCCATTAGACTGCCCTTCAATCGGCCACATTGGTTAACAGACGGCCACAACAATGTGTGCCATGGTACCACAATTGTGAATGTGGAGATAGTGGAACGGCTTGGACCAAATGGTCATGTTCGGTAAATGCTGCTGTACAATGTGTGTATCACATAATCCACAGCCACCGTGGCCACAGCAGAGTTCTATATATATGCAGTTAAAGTTTCTCGCCGTTCCTCATCTTGAACTCACACCAATATGTCCTCTGCTAACACTATCACCACCGCCAACAAGGCCTTCAGTGATGCCGCCGCTAAGATTGATCGCCTTCTGGGGCAAGCTTGCCAGTTGGCTGCCAGAGATCCTCAACATCTTGTCATAGCCATGGAGATGGGCAAGGTTTTGGTAAGTCTTTGTGCTATATTTTAACATTACCTAATTTGTTCCAGACATATGCAATGATGTCTCACGGCGGGAGCATAACTGTCCTCTTGCCGTTGATTTTGTTGGCTGCTGCAGAACTGCAGCAGCACATGAACCCATCTAGGACTGGTCTAACTGGCACGCCCACATGGGCTAATATTCGAGGTGACGATATACGTATTCAAACTCACCCCCTCTTTCCCTCCACTCGCAATTACCAGCGGACCCCATCGCCATTGCCTCCAAGCCAGGGCCCATCTCAGCCCAGGAAGCGGCCTGTGGTAGAGGAACCCAAACAATGCAGGCAAGGCACTGAGCACAGGAAACGTCTCCGTGCATCAAGTGCCCAGAGCCGCAGCCACCCGGCGCTGTCTAAACGGCAGCGGCAGAAGTCCAAGGCCGTCGTTAGCACTGATGATGAACTTGATGAAGACGAACTGGTCACTCCGGTTATTCCAGTAAGTTCTTTCCTCATCCATGAAACTGCAATTTAACGCCCTGTCCAGACCGCCACTAAGAAACGCCCTGCATATGTAGAAATCGACACCGACCAAGACATGGAGGAGGAAGTTGATGAAGAAGATCCTGTAGAGCCGCCGAGGAAGATTGCGGTCGCTGATGTTGCATTGCCGGTAAGTGTTGATATCTTTGGATTTATCACATCTAACTGATGTCGCCAAGATTACCGCAGATCATGAGTTGATGGATGATGAGTTCGCTGATTTGACAGCAGAAGTGTGGACCCCCCGTTGCGGCCAATGTGTCGCACGGGACCTCATTTGCCACCAGGCGTACCATAAGGACCATGGCGGAAAGTTGCGCGTCTGCGGGCTTTGCAGCCGCTTGAAAATTAGGTGCGGAGGCAAGGGATCGGACACGCCAAAAATGAAAGGCAAGTCCATAGTGGCGCAGCGAGCTCACTCGCAGTCTCGGCGCCGTCGTTTGCTGGCAGCTGGTATGTTGTCTACTTTTTATTCTAGCTACCTACTAAATCCAGCAACAGCTGCACATGCTCTAATGGATGTTCCTGCCGCCAGTGAGGTTCAGGAGGAGCAGCCCGGGCTTCCGCACTCCGAGGTTCGACCTGAGCCAGGACTCACTAGCATCCCCAATCAGGAGATACAGAATCTTCAGGATGAAGTTGCCAGCCTTCGGGCGACCATTGAAGCCTTGCAACAGCAAGTCATCAATGGTGACTGGCAACTTCAGGAGACATTGGCTGCACAGGACGACCATGCCAAGCTGCTGGCAGATAAGTTAGAAGTCCTCCGCTGACTTGTTCTTTCTTCAACCGCTCAACTGCCTGCCGAGACCCCCCACACGCATCCAGGTGTGCCATCCTCTCCGGCAGTCACCGCTCATTCAACTGCTGGCATTCCTGCCACCGATGTACAGCCGGGTGCTGAACCCTCTTTGGCGCCCACTGATGACACCTCCATCCCGCTTGGTCCCCAAGCTGCCAGTCCCCCCACAGAGGCCGATGTTGAACTGGCTGCTGGTCCGGCCACTCCCCAAGCTGAGGCGGCTTGTTTGCCTGTGGTCATGAAGGCTGATGAGACTGTTATGTAATTTGATTTGTACCATATATGCTAGCTAGTAGTGTAGAAGTCATGTACTATTTATTTTGTTGTTCATTGCCATGGAATGTACAATTGGCATAATGGGCTACCGGTCAACACCAAATTGCATGTGTGATCATCAGGCGGTTGATAACTCGCTGGAGTCCCGCCGCTCTTAGCCATTTCCAACCAAAGATCATTCCACCAATGTGCTTACCGACGCCACGCACGGCAGCACTCCACCATGCATCTGGTGTCCGGCCACATCCAATGCTCTGTGGAGTTTATATCGTGGCACGGACCCGAGCCCGTTGGTATATAGTGCGGTATTGATCCAGGCTCATCCCTCTATTCACGGTAACGATTGGGCCCATCACCTACATGGGGCTCTCATATGGGCCCCTCCGTGCATTGCCATACATAGCGTGAGCCCCACCATACAAAGAGCCCACTGTAACTGGGCCTATCTGCACTCTCCAAGGTCATGGCAGGCTCACTCTCCTATGACGTACCTCTAGGGTGGGCCCGTATCCCTTAGTTCAGACATCCATGTGGGCCCGCCTCCATTCTTTGGATACTGCTTGTAGGCCCGTTGACAGTGTTATACATGGTGTGAGCCCTGCCACACAAACTGTATGATGTAGCTGGGCCCATCTCGCCCTCCAGCAGATACACCGGGCTCGCCCTGCTATTCTGTATTTCCTGAGTAGGCCCGCATCCCTTAGTTCAAACCTTCAGGTGGGCCTACCGCTGTTGTTTGTATACTTCAGGCAGGCCCATTCACTGCCCAGATCATAATCTGGGCCCACCCTACTGCGTGCACACCGACAGCGGGCCCATTCCTTTACAGGAATGATGTGGGCCCGTCAATACAATGTTAGGGCACTGCCGGGTGTGCTAACAATTGTATTCACTCGGCGGGTCATGACATTCGCCGGGGCATACCGCCGATGAATAATGTTATTTGACTGATTACGCCGGATGTGCGTGCTATTTCCATATTCCGGCGGATGCTTGCTGACAATATTGCAATTTATTTCCGCTCATGATTGGAATCATGCAGCCGGCCGAGCATGCAAAATGTATTCGCCAGCATGTTATTTGTGTTATTCCCATATCCCGGCGGATGCCTGCCAATGATTTGGTTGGCCGGCGAAATTTGCAATTTTTATCCGCCGGTATATTCGATGTTCGCCGACTGTGATATCATCAGTGAATGTAATTTGGCTACATTTGAATCCCATGGGCCCACTCGAAAATCTCGAGAGATGGCCTTTCTACTGTACTACAGGCCCATCCATAAATAAAGGTTTCTTCAATCTAGATCCTCCATGGGCCCACTCCATAGTTTCAAATAACATAAGTAGGGGGCCCACAGCTATCCATTGGGCACACAGCATACATGAGCCCACCCGGAGACACCCCCTTACAACATATGGTAGGCCCATAGTGGGTTGGCCCTGGTGTCATGGAAGAAATGTCAAGGTGGGCTAGCTATGTTTATAGGGTTAGGTCACTGAAGGGGCTCCACATCATCCCTTGTTTCTCTAAGGGAATGTGACACAATGATGGAAAGGGCTTGTCGGGCATGGCCGGCGATAAAAGCGATTGGTGTCAATATTTTGTCAATAGGTGCATATGATCAACCTTCTTAACCTTTGCTTTACTGATTTATAACGTAGATTTGTCGATCGGGACATGCTGATGCGATTTCATTATGGTCTAGGGGTCGGGCATGTCTATTCTCATGAAGAGGCGCTTGGTCTTCCTTCCAAACCCACCAGTCTAGATGAGGCCCCCTGCAATGAACAGGTTGGTGGAAATGAATATGAGCTGGAGGATGGATCGGAGGATGATCACACAGGTGTCGAAGAAGGAGAGTTATTTGATCAGGAGAAAAATGAGAGTTCTGAGTCGGTTGTGGAGGACTTAGATGATATGTTTGTTCAACACGAGTATGACTATAAACCCTGACAGCGGTTAGGGAATTCATTAATGGTATTTTAAGCTTGAAAGCTATGGCATGTCAGACACACTGGCAGATGCTTGCTCATAGTAGTATTCACCCCACACAAGGCCAATTACATATACTACTAGTACTACTAGTAGTAGTACTATCTAGCGCTGGTGGTGTTGGCCTGCCAGCCACCACAACGACAAATAAACAAACCCATCCACCACACATCAGAGTCAAACACTATGATTGATGAAGCTAAGCTTTGCGCATTTTGGTAAGATTATGTGCACTGCCATGATCTTGTATCTCTACTTACCCTTTACTGTTGATTTTCCAATTCTCCAATCCCTAATCAACATAAATCATAGCAGTATCAATGCCGGTATGTCCAATGATAGCTTCTCATCCTGTGCTTCAGACTGTGATTGACGCCTATAACAGAAGAAAGTTCCGCTGGACCACAGTACTCCTGCCTGGTGTTACAGGGATCTGTAACACCTACTAGAGCCCCAGCTCTCCCTATGCCTGCCCCCGCTCTGCTAGACTCCCCGCGCGGCGGTGCGCCGCCTGCGCCTAGACAGACAGCGGTCTGGACCGCTACGACTCCGCCTCATGGCGCTATGACCCCGCCTGATGCTATGACCCCGCCCCTGGCCTAGACGGCCTTGTACCTGTTCCATGGAGGCTGTACGCCTCATGGACACCCTAGATCAGCGCATGTATACAGCATGTCGCTTCATGAAGATCCGGAGCGCCCTTGGCGCCTCATGTATGAAGACCCGGAGCGCTTGGCGCTTCCTGTACCTATGCGCAGCTGCACTTGGCGCTGCATGTATGATCAGAGGCTAAGCCTCATGTACTTTGCACGTATCCGCTAGCCCTGCATCTCGACGAGCGCCGTCTTACCGAGATCGCCGGAGGAATCCTTGACGTTCCGTCAAGGCCAGACCACGCTCAGCTTCAGTAGACTCACTCGAGTCGTCGCTGAGAAGACCTATCCTAGTTCGCACACGCCGACCTACAGTCGACGTAACACCTGGCCGACGCAGTTGGGGCGGTATGCCCAAAAAGTGAGATGGTGAGTATCCGTTACTTTTGACATTGCATATCCAAGCTGACTTTTATCATATGCAGGGTGCCACTTCTAGGCCCAGACTTTACAGTACAGGGACTGCAATTTGACCTTCTTAAGTCGGTTTTTGCCTTATAACAGTAGCGCTTTGACTCTAACGTTGGCAGGGATGAGGTTTATGGGGAATGGGAGGAGTTTGTTCATCCGTCCGGAGTCACCTATTACTACAATAGGACAAGGGTAAGCACCAACTGCATGTACACATTACACTTATGTTTTGGAAATTTAGAACACATACACTGGATTGAACATAAGAGATTGCTCTCAGGATCGCATTGATAAGTTTGAAGCTTGGATCAAAGTAACACGAGGCCGAGTACAGGGAGATCTCATCTTGGTCGCTGAGCCAGTGAGGACTCAGAACGTGGATGGGGATGTCTACCTTTATTATCTGGTGGCGCTGGAGGCACGCATCATCAGCTGGCTGGAACCCTTAGATGGTACCCATCTTTTCAGAGAATGTGACTCTGCCCGTCGATGGAATCATAAATGTATGTGACCTTTTCATGTCTTTACCTGACCTTTAATATCGTGCAGGACTCGAACTTGAGGCCCAATTTTGGTAAGCAATCGTAAATGGTGGCATAGTATGATTCATTCACAAACTGCATAACAGGAAGCATGTAGAGTTTTTTCCCCGAGACTTCAAGTTGGATCACATCCTTCTACGACAATTGCACGCTGAACTTGATTGGTTTCACGCAGGTGAGTTCTATAGCATGCAGCACTGAATAGCCTGACCTGAATGAACAATAGACACATTAACATTAGAAAGTTCCACCTCAGTGACTATATTTTCCAACAGGGAGACAATGGAGAAAATCATCAGCCGATTAGCCAGTCTCGGTATGTTCCCATGTGTTGCTCTATCGCACCTTGACGACCGGATATCAGATGATCTTGCAGGATCTGAAGGAATCATAACAGAACCAAGTGTTGCATTGCTTGGTTCATAAGCTTTTCAAAAATCTACAACTATATCCTTATTTCATTTATGACAGGCAGACTATATCACTTGCTTCGTCGGTGGTCTCTGTATCTTACCAGACATTGTCGCTGAGTTATAACACAGGCCATCATCAATACCTCAACTATTTTGGCCAACCTGAAGCTTGCCTATTATGAACCCACTCAATGGGCCCAGGGACTAAAATGTGGGGACCTTTTCCTTTCATGCTCACAGTTGCTATGTTATGCCTTCCAGTTTTGGTTCGCGAACATCTCAAGCAGATCTATGTCGACGGCCTGGTCAATTACCTTGATCTCAAAAACTTCATTGATGACTTTAACACCCAGAACAACGTGCAAATCACCTTAGTAAGTAGCCTTTCAGAGTATAGAGGATTCTAGTCATTTAATACTCTGTGGCAGGCAGGGGTAATCATGGCAATTGACGCCAGGTTCCTTGCTGTGCAAGGTGTTGGTACTGGACTGATTGCAGAGTCTATTTTGAAGGGATCTATCATTTTCTGTGTAGGCTGCCTGTTTGCAGGCATGTTCGCACAACACTTCAGCGAGAAATTGAAATCTTTGTGATTTGCAGTTTGTTTATTTCATTTTTCAGTTGCTAAAGTCTAACATACAGTTCACTAGGCCTATTACCTAGATCAGGGGATGACAGTGGTTATTGGGGTGCTCAGCACACTCCATTTTTTTTGTATGATGAGGCAAGTCAATTTTTGGTCTGTCGCTTGTGTTTACTTACAGGGAGAAAAGCATCACATGGTCCAGCTTTGGGTTCCTTGCGAGTGCCTTCATAGATGCCCAGCACTCCAAGCCTGCTCTCATTACATGTGCCTGCTGCCTAGCTGTTGTGACGACCATTTTAAGCCCCTTGGCTTGGTATGGTTTACGTGCAGGGGTGACACCGTATGTTCATCTTGAAGATGACTGATCTAAATAAGGCGGCTGGGTGATGGGCGGTCTATTCATTATTATTTTTTCTTCCGTCTGTTCTTCATTGACTAGTATGTTTTAATTATTACAAGTGTCGCCTGCAGACGATTCTGAGCCAAAGATGAAAGGGGCTCGAGTAGAGCGCACACAGAGCGCGCACATGACGTCGACACCAATTGGAAATATTCCCGCTACCTTCAGGGAGTGGGTCTTATAGCTCGCTATTTTTCACCTTTTGGCGGTAGATTTCTCGATTTCGTCGCCCCTCTCTTTCTCACCTTAGATGGCAACTGTCGCCTTGGATGGTAATTCAGTCCATGCTTACACCCCTCTTGCGCTCTCATCATGACTTTGTTCATTGGCCGCTTGCCTGTTTCTGTTATTTTCGATACTGATTTGAGTTGTTCTCTTGTATCTACTTCAGTTGCTCATGATCTCGGCCATTCAGCACCCGATTCTCGCTTCTCTGAGATTCTCACGGCTTCGTATGATAGCTGTGCGCTCACAACTGATGTTGAGTTCAAGGTTTTGCGCAGTCTTGATTGTGATGGATTGGATTGCTGTGTGCGCTGTTGGTTGGGAACACAAGCATCCTGTGCATAATCCTTATTCTCGCGGCGCGTCTGGATCTCAAGGTGATAGTACTTCATGGTTCAATCTTTTGGTATCTTTCTGACATTTCATATTTCTAGCAACTTCATGTATATTTGGTGGCAATGCAAGCTGTTTGCCAGAATCTGCTGTCAGTGGCCATGTGGATTTATTTCAGTCTTTGTCCCTCGCAGGGGCAGTTTTGTCGTCTTGTAGATGTTCAAAGTCCATTGTGCATGATATGTTTTTTTGCATCGTGTCGTTCGGGGGTCCGATTGGGTCCCTTTTTGTCCGAAGTTGCGTTGCTCGAGCGGGCATGTGCTTGGCATGGTTTTGACCTTAGGGGGTCATATCCCTTGCTCGAGTTGCAAAAATCATTGTTGCAACATCTAGTACTCCATGGGGAATGTGTCGTTTTTGGACACACACTCCAAGCATCGTGATTACACTGCATGTCGTGAGGTCACCATAGGGTTTGCCACTTTAGCTGGCGCTATAGCTTATAAAATATGTAGAAGCGCTATCAACACAATAACATAGTTGGCCCACATATGCTACAGGGGACAGCACATTTTCCTGATCAGACATAGTCATACAACCTCTTTATTGATCATTTAGAGGTGGTTTATCGATCATTTAGAGGTGGACAACCAAAGATACGAGATGGTTAACTTAGGCTGAAATATCACCAGAAGGGCTGGTGATAACAGGCCCATACCAAAGGTCCTCAATGTTGTAGCCAGATGATACAGAGCAGCCATTGAGTAAATATCGGTTGTTATGTGATATAGTTATCCAATATCATCATCACAAATTGAGAGGTGGATAACCAAAGGTGTAGGATGATCAACTTAGGCTGAAATATCACCGGAAGGGCTGGTGATAACAGGCCCATACCAAAGGTCCTCAATGTTGCAGCCAGATGATACAGAGCAGCCATTGAGTAAATATTGGTTGTTATGTGACATAGTTGTCCAGTATCATCATCACAAATTGAGAGGTGGATAACCAAAGGTGTAGGATGATAAACTTATATTTAAATATTGCCCAAAGGGTAGACGGAAGCAGGCCCATACCAAAGGTCCTCAATGTTACAGCCAAGTGATAGAGAGTAGACATCAAATAACTATGTGGTATCTCATTGTCAAGCATTAACAAGGTTAGTCCAAAGGTACTTTGTTTGTGCAGACTTATCAAATGTAACTAGATTTACCTAAGTCTCGGCGTTTTCCTGATGATGTTTTCCAAAGGCAGCTTGGGAAGGTGAGCTGAGAGGGGGGGGAGGGAAGAACATGTCTGATCGAGTCAGATGGGGAAGGTTTGATTTGGGTAGATGACAAAAGTTTGATGTCGGTATTAGGGAATCCATGAAAGTCATACGAGAAACAGAGGACAAACGTAGAGCAGGGTCCATGCAATGATGAGCTCAAGCATGAGTCCAGGAACAACATGATATTGTGGACCGATGGTCAACAAAGACGGGATGTGTAAGTATATGATTGTCCTATAGCGCGAGCCGCATGCAAAGTGGTAAAATACCGAATGTAGTGTCGTACGTACGTACAAATCACATTCAGCAGGCTTCATATGAAGGTGGATGAGTGAATTTCAATGGCTTGAGTTTTGCGTTTGATTCTGCGCTTTCACTGTGATTAGGTCTGTTGTATTTTTAGTTATAATCATGCGTACCGGCTAGTCTCGTAATTGATTTGTTTGTGGTAGTATATGTCAGTCTGGCCATCATCGAGCTTATGGGTCACCTGTACATTTGAGTACATTTTAATATGAGGCAAATTGCACGCAGAGAGGATGTTCTATGAGGCATAGGAGATTCAGCTCGTGATGATATCAATGTAATCACCAATTTGAAACCATTTCCTTACCATGCAGGTGAACATTCCAACGCCCACTTTTCCAAACTCGAGTGACTGTACGATTGTAGCCCAAGATCGTCTAGCACGAAGACCTTGGTCGGAATGCCTCACTTGTAGATTGTCCCTTGGTGCTGAAACGAATGTAGGATGCATCTAAAAGTACCCGTGGACATCACAAGGTCATGGTCTCATCCTAGCCTAGTGAGATATTCGTGGGGTGATAGGACTCGAATGGCTGATCTCAGCGTCGTCTCGAGTCGACACTGATGCATAGGTAAATAGCAGCGGGCATATACCAGGTGGGGACATTCATATTTTCGCGCTGATGACTGTAGATCTGAGTCGGGCATAAGAATCACGAAAAGGTTACGAAGGTAATATGCAGTAACTCACCTTCAAGTCATCAGACATGGTGGTGTGATGGAGGAAAATGAGGAGGATCGAGGATGTGTTTGGTGGTAGGTGCGGTGAGGAGTATGTAAAGACAGGGAGAAGAGGTGGGTGGTCCAGGTCTTGTTGCACGTGTATTTCCGTGGCATTTATATGTTTGACACGATAGATGTGTGCTTATCAAAGCGCTGAGAACGATGGCCGATGATTGAATGTTAGCGGGAGAGCCTGTACATGCTAAAAAGAGGGCAATGTCAAGGTCAGTCATCAGTGAAAGTAGCACGCCAATTTTAAAGGGAACATGCGCATCCTGCGAGGCTTGCTACTCCTGGAATTTTATTGTCTAGTCGTACTCTTCACTTATACACATAGTGATGCAAAATGTAAATTCCAGTGTATTTCATGCTAGGACAATATATATAAACTGCTGAAAGGACGTGCAAAAAAAGTGAAAACACCAGCGAGGGTTTGCGAGAGCATGTCAGAAGGGATAGCAGAGTGCAATGGACGATATTATGAGTGACAAAGAACATGATTGAGACCTAAAACAACAATTAGAATGAGCAAAGACTTAAGCTTAAAGTCACTACATAGTACACACCTACTATGTGACACACGCTGCAAAGGTGGTTAGCAAAGTGGTTTTGTTACGCAAAACCAACGAAAATAAACCCAAGCACCCTTGGACACGATTCAGAACGCGAACAAAAAAGACACACCAAAAGTGCGCCTTGCTTTGAAATTCCACGTACGAGGTGCAGCGTCCAGGACAAGTCCAGAAGCCATGCATGATGATGTAGTAAGTATTTCAAAATGTTTAGTCATTGATGAGTCGGTGGCAGTGGCATCACGTAAGCAACACTGAAATAGAAATTTGAATTGGCATCAAAGGTGGCCGCCTGCACCATGAGTCGATGTATTCCATCTTCACCCAATATATATTCGGTGATTCGCTGTACCCCCTATGTTCCCATCACCTTCAAGGCTTCCCTACATGGCCTCCTCGCCCGGTGCCAATATTTGATATGGTTCCACAGTGCTTGGTTTGATATCTGTGGGCAATCCGGCAGCGGTCACAGCTTCCTGAACATTTCTCAATCGTCCTTCACTAAATAAGCACACAGTAGGTTGCATCCTCTCTTTTCAAGAACTGATCTTTGGTCTATAGATTATCACATGGCTCACGTGTGTTGTCAGTGGAGATCAGAGCGTCTTATGAGCTTGGTCGAATGCTAGGCGGGGGAGAGGTCGTTGGAAGACTTCAAATGTCATGGGATGAGCTACTCGATCATGGAGATGAGCCATTCGGTGAGTGATTCGCTTCTCACTCATGCACATACGCCAACGTCCTGTAGATTTATTGTTCCCACCCGTGCGCGGTGTCCACCCTTCCCTTAAGCTGAAGGCCGCCATTGTGCATGCTTGCGACGATCATGACGACGCACTGTTTGATGTGAGTAACGTTGGTTTCGGTCCTGTTAGCTTTTGCTGACAGAACGCAAACTGCAGTCCCTCGCAGACTGCGAAATTGATCGAGACACAGATGCAGGCCACGCACAATTTGCCGCATACGTGACGAGCGAGACAGTCTCTCGCCTGAAACGTGCTGTGAAGCATTTTCAGTTGGTTCTAGACCGGTGTCCGGTCAGCCATCCAGACCATGCCACGGCTCTCACCAACCTCGCGTGGGCCCGCCTCAAAGGCTACATCCGAAATGATCTTGAAGACATCGATGCCACCACGTCCCTCTTCCGCGACGCCCTTGCATTGCGTCCACAGCCCCAT